GTAAGCGTGGTGCGGTCTCGAAAGAAGGAGCGGGAAGCACCCGAGTCAAGAGTGAAGGTGTGTAAGGCCCGAGCCGACGTGGTACCTGAGAGAGCAGACTCACCAGCACCTGGGGCAGCAGACGCACTAGCACCTAGAGCAGCAGCCTCACCAGCACCTAGAGCAGCAGCCTCAATGCCCGGGTCAGGCGGAACACACAGGTAACAGTCACCCTCATCACTAGTAGGCAATGCATATATGGCAGTGAGGATAGCATCATAGTCAAGAGTATAGATATCTACCCGCAGCCGAAGCAGCTCCACCCAGTCGGGGAGCTCAGCCGCGTCGCCAAACTCCGTACGCCAGTCGTCGCTCGGACGGGCGAAGCAGCGGGACTCTACGTGACCAAGCGTCCCGCAAGGCTGACCAGTCCAAGCACCAGTGCGAATGACGTACGGACAACGAGCAGTACCCCGTGACCCGTCACGCTGAGCGTACCACTCACGAAGCTGCTGGGGCAAAAGGACCGCGTGCGGACAACGCTGAAGCTGCACCTGGCTACTACAAGCAGCTGCCGAACTACTTACTCCAGGACGACTCCCACTACGGCCACCAAAACAACCCCAACTAGCGTACCACTCACAAAGCTCTTGGGGGGTGAGGGACTGACGCGGGCGACGCTGCAGCTGCACCTGGCCACTACAAGCAGCTATGGAACTACTCACTCCAGGACGACTCCCACTACGGCCACCCCGACAACCCCAACTAGCGTACCACTCACGAAGCTGTTGGGGGGTGAGGGACTCACGCGGGCGATGCTGGAGCTGCATCTGGCCACGCCAGGAGCAGCGGAAGCAGTAGAAAGAGCAGTAGCAGCAAGAGCAGCAGTAACAGCAATAGGGGCAGGGCAGTGCTCACCAGTGGCGAGAAGGGCAGGCGTACGACGGCGGCAACGGCGAGGCCGCTACCACTGTAGGGCGAGAGCTCCGCGGCAGCTGCAGGGGTGGCTGCTCCAGGGGCGGCTGCTGCAGGGGCGGTTGCTGCAGGGGCGGTTGCTCCAGGGGCGGGTGCTCCAGGGGCGGCTGCTGCAGGGGTGGCTGCTCCAGGGGCGGCTGCTGCAGGGGCGGCTGCTGCAGTGGCGGCTGCTCCAAGGGCGGCTCGGCTGCTGGGCGGCTCGGCGGCTCGGCTGCTCGCTAGGGGCGGCGACGGGGCCGGGTAGGGGCGGCGACGGGGCCGCTAGGGGCGGCGACTGGGCCGCGTAGGGAGGGGAGCGGCGACGGGGCCGCTAGGGGCGGCGACGGGGCCGCGTAGGGGCGGCGACGAGGCCGCGTAGAGGGGGAGGAGGCGACGGGGCCGCTAGGGGCGGCGACGGGGCCGCCTAGGGGCGGCGACGGGGCCGCTAGGGGCGGCGACGGGGCCGCGTAGGGGCGGCGACGGGGCCGCGTAGGGAGGGGAGCGTCGACGGGGCCGCTAGGGGCGGCTACGGGGCCGCGTAGGGGCGGCAACGGGGCCGCGTAGGGAGGGGAGCGGCGACGGGGCCGCTAGGGGCGGCGACGGGGCCGCGTAGGGGCGGCGACAGGGCCGCGTAGGGAGGGAGGAGGCGACGGGGCCGCTAGGGGCGGCGACGGGGCCGCGTAGGGGCGGCGACGGGGCCGCGTAGGGGCGGCGACGGGGCCGCGTAGGGAGGGGAGCGGCGATGGGGCCGCTAGGGGCAGCGATGGGGCCGCGTAGGGGCGGAAACGGGGCCGCGTAGGGGCGGCGACGGGGCCGCGTAGGGAGGGGAGCGGCAACGGGGCCGCTAGGGGCGGCGACGGGGCCGCGTAGGGGCGGCGACAGGGCCGCGTAGGGAGGGAGGCGGCGACGGGGCCGCTAGGGGCAGCGACGGGGCCGCGTAGGGGCGGCGACGGGGCCGCTAGGGGCGGGGACGGGGCCGCGTAGGGGCGGCGACGGGGCCGCGTAGGGAGAGAGGCGGCGATGGGGCCGCTAGGGGCGGCGACGGGGCCGCTAGGGGCGGCGACGGGGCCGCGTAGGGGCAGCGACAGGGCCGCTAGGAGCCGCGAGGGGCCTGGAAGGGCGGCGACGGAGCCGCTAGGGGCGGGGACGGGGCCGCTAAGGGTGGCGCGAGGGGCCGTGAGAGGGGCCTCTAAGAGAGCTCGACAGAAGGGCGGCCCACAAGGCGCGCCTCGGGCAGGAGCGACTGGCGCTCCAGTCAGAAAAAAAAGTTTTAGTGGTGGGCCTAAGGAAGCGTTCCCACTAGGGAACCTGCTCTATACCATGTGAAGAAATGAGGAATGAATGAACCAGCACAAGGTTGGGTACAAGTAGGAAACCCTAGGAAACTATACCCCATAGTGTCTACCCCACTATAGCCTAGACAAGCTATATCATATAAGTTTGACACCTTAGTTCGTCGAGCTCGGGATGTGTCAGTCTGAACCGGCGTTGTACGGTTGGCTGTGCCCCCGGTTCTAGTTCGATTCGGTGGTCATGTGCTCGCTGAGGTGGCAGTCCTTCTGGTAAGTCGTCAGGGAAAATCCCGGGGTATCGTTTCTACAGTTCCTGTAATTCGGGTGGTAAGGCTGCCAGCAGTTTCTTGAAATCACTCGGGTGCTCCGCTTCCTCTACTACTGCGATGTCTACTGCGTACACGTTAGCTCCAGCAGCGACAGCCCGTTTCATTGTGATGGCGTTGACGTGTACCGTTGAAGACTCGGGCGACTGCCAACGAGGTAGCTCGACCCAGTTACCACTACTTCGCACGGTGCAGCTACCCGTCGTCCAGTCAATTCGCTGGTTATACCGTCGCAGCCAATCACGTCCCAGCAAAATATCGTGCCCATCCAGTGTCGTTGCGAGCATTTCCTGTCTAAACCCGAAATTTCCCCCGCAGCGGACTTTGACTCTCTCTACCTTTTCTCGTATGGCCAGTGGCGTGCCGTCGACTAAGCGTGCGTCTATCTCCGGTAAGCAACGGCTAAGTGTCAGCTGCAGTTTTCGTGCGGTTGCGGTATTAACTAAACTGGGGCTTGCTCCTCCGTCGATAAAAATCTTCACTATTGCTCCCTGTATTTTCCCGTGGATCAGTACTGGGCAATCCGTCGCTGTACCCTCCTTATTCGTCCGAGTCCGATCGATAGCATGAATCGGTACTGTGACTCGGTGAGGGTCGGTGGGGTTGGGCGAGCAGGTAGTCTCGTCAGTAGTTGGCCCGATTCCTACTGACTGCTGGCGTTTCCCTGCTTTGGAGACTCCCTCCCCTGCTCTGCTCCGCGGCGCCTTAGCTCCTCTGGGCATTCGCTCTTGCGATGGCCCGGCCTGTTGCAAGCAAAGCAACGCCCCTTAAACGGCGTGGCAGCTGCATTCATCGCAACAGCGTGTACAGTGGTGTGCTCGATCGGTCCCCGGGGACGATGTCCATAGTAGGACCCCGGTCTCGGACGGCGTAAAATGTCGATTTTCTTGGCGAGCGCGAGAATCTCGTTGAAGTTCGAGAGCCCGCGTAGCATGATTTCGTGCGAGATGTCCGGCTTCAGCCCTCCGACGTAACGGTCCACCCGCTCCGCTTCGTGCACGTAGCCGACTTGCTCGCATAATGCGAGAAAACCACTCGTATAGTCTTGAACCGATCCAAGCTGCCGCCAAGTGCGCAAACTCTGACGCGCCGAAATAGAAGCCGCGATCGGCTCGAAGCGCGCCCGAAGCCCTGCGCACCACGCATCCCACGTGCTGTATTGGGCGGTCTCGCAGAATGAACTCCAGGTGACAGCTGGGCCCGTGGGCCCTTCCTCTTGCGACGGTGGCTCGTAGGCGCATGGCGACGTCATGATGACTCGCCACCAGTCCATGGCGGGGCCCCTTAGCAGCGAAACGGCATACCGAATCTTCGTTGCGTCCGACTCGACGTAATTCGCGTCGAAGAAGACGTTCATCGTGAAGACCCACGATTGAACCGTCGGACCTCCACGCTGGCTCAGGTCGAAGCAAGGCGGGCGTTGCGGCTTGAGTGGCATTGGTGCCGTAATGGTCTGTTCGCCACTTGTCGCCGCGAACTCCACGTGCCGACGGGCTTCGCGAGGCTCCCGCGGGCTTGATGCGACCCTGTTTCCTCCCATGCCAGGCATCGGCTGGGCGGCACCATCGCTGGCTGCGCCTGAGCGCTCTCCCACGCTGTTGTTTTGTGTTGGTGTGCCGGACGAGATGACGATCGGCTCGTCTGATTGTGCAGATGCATTTGTCGGTGCGTGTGGTGGCGCTGGAGTGTTCACGTTCCGCCGTGAGCGTCGCAATTTCGAGCGCCGAATCTTCAAGTTGGCGCACCAGACGGTCGAGCTGCTCCTGCGTCAATGTGGCGAGCGTGAATTCGGCCATGGCGGGGGTGTCGGGCGAGCTCAGCGAGAGCCTCGGTCGTGGCCGTGCATGCTTACGAGAGAGCACTACGAGCGGCGGTGCTGTGTCGCTGAGAGACGTCTACCCCCCCCAAAAATTGAGATAGTGGGGAAGCGAAGGTGTGGGTGCGGTCCGAGAGGAGATCGTAGGCTCTGAATACCAAGTGTTACGAGTGCAATTGAGTGAACGAACGAGAATTGCACTATCGAAGCAAGAGTACAATGAGCGAAGGCATGAGCGAAGAATATATAGCGAAACTACAGTGGTAATGGTAATGGACTGTGGTTGTCGCGCGACGGGCCTGGGACCGAGGTTGGGAAAAGTGTCGAAGCGGAGGCCCGGAGCGCGGGTTACCCACCGAGCCGTGAAGTCGGGGTGCGATGTGCTAAGGTGGCGGGCGGATTGTCAATGCGAGGGTTGCGAGTGGTAACGGTGCTGACTGTGGTGCTACAATGATGTACGCGTTGAGCAGGGATGCGAAGCAAGAAAAAGGATTTTTCCTTACAGAGTGCCTGAAATTCAACGTACCACTATGTGCATATGAAAGATAGCACGTTACGGTACTGTGAAATCATTTTATAGCCCTATCAAGCATGAGAAGCTATATACATCGTTCTATTCATTACGCGGCCAAATCAAAACTCGGGTCCAGATGCAAATATGTCGACTAATCCGCGGAAGACTTGAGCAGAGAGCTGCGAGGCGACCACCAACTCCCCATCCACATTCCACGTGCTTTGCTTCCCGTGAGATGTGAACATGAAGGCGGGGGTCTAGTTACAATAACATATGGGGTACGGACACAGGGATGAATGGGAGAGGGCAGGGTTGGAATTGGACGGGAGGGGAAAGAATGTGATAAGGTGCGAGCGATGGAATGGAACTTGGAGGACAAGTAGGAAGATTTTGCCGTCATTCATTATAAAAAACTGCTTGCAAACGAAACAGTTCATCGTACCTTGTATGTCTCCACAAATTCAAAGGCGAATGGGTCGGCCCCTTTGCGGGCTAGGCGAGTCAGCTGACTGCCATTGGGGAAATGAGCCATGGGAGGTGGGAGGAGCAAGACACGGAGATAAAAGGTAAACGCAGGCAGACGTTAGACATGAGCAGCATCAACACGGCGCCTTCAAATATCGCCAATAAAGAGAGAGAAAAAAAAAGCGTGCAAGCTTACTGGAGGTACTCGGGGCGCGAGCACTTGCGGATCAGGATGAGATGTAGATTGCCGTCCGCCAGGTGGGCCTGTGCCGCGACGCCATCTGGCGCCTTGTCGTTTCGACAAGACATCACTGCCGCCCCCACGCTGTGGAACTTTCCTCGCACCGTCCTCCAACAGGGCCTCAGCCCCTCACTCTGCTTCTCCATCCCCCCCACTGCACACACACCCTCTCCACTCTGCCCTCCTTTCTGCAATAACCCCTCTTGCTCAGCTACACCCACAGGTGCTGACGTGGCAGCACCCGATTGACTGTGAGAGATCTGGGCCAGGTCGAGTGATGAGGTGTCGAGTGTGAGGAGGCTGTGGGAGGCGCGTGCGAGTTGGGAGAGGTCAGTGCTGCTGGCGCACACAGTGCATCCCGCAGTGCACACATCTGGGAAGCTGCTGCGCCTCATGCTGCCGCGTCTGATGCTGCTGCTGCTTGTGCCGGTACTGAACATAGGGGTCACACATGAACCACAAGGAAGAAAGAATGGGAAGGTTTGTGATTGAATCGTTCGCAAGCTGGGAGAGGTCAGTGCTTCTGGCACACACAGAGCATCCCGCAGTGCACACGTCTGGGAATCTGCTGCGCCTCATGCTGCTGATACTGCACCTGCTGCTTGTGCTGGTTCTGCTGCACATAGAAGCCATGCAGGAAGAAAAGGCACAAGGAAGAAAAGACAGGAAACTTATGAGTCAGGATTGATCACTGCTGTTGATCCAAGACCACACACTTTAAAGCCCAGTGAAGCAGCCTTTCACTCATTGTTGACACTTGAAAAAACACACCTAGGCAGGCAGGCGCCTCCAGTAACACACCTAGGCAGGCGCCTCCAGTAACACACCTAGGCAGGCGCCTCCAGTAACACACCTAGGCAGGCGCCTCCAGTAACACACCTAGGCAGGCGCCTCCAGTAACACACCTAGGCAGGCGCCTCCAGTAACACACCTAAGAAGGCGCCTGCCCTCCAGTAACACACCTAAGAGGGCGCCTGCCCTCCAGTAATGGTGTTTATCCGCCGTTTCTGCACCTTATCTTTCTAGCTTTCATCTCTCGCCCTCTCACCGTGTCTTCACCAGCATGGGGCTGCTGAAGGTGCGCCGCCGCAGCCTTCCGTTCCACTCCACAGCCTGCAGTGGCATCCCTTCCCCCTCTCCCTTCCCCTCTCCGTCCCCTCCACCCAATACCTTCCCCTCTCCACCCCCTTCTACCTCTCCTTTCCCTTCTCCTCCCACCCCTCCGTCCTCCTCCACCACCTCCTCTCCCACCTTCTCCTCCCCGTCCTCCACCTCCCCAACCTCCTCCTCTTCCTCCTCGTCATCATCATCCAGACCATGCGTTCTAGGGAGCTGATCAGTGAAGCTCCTCTCTAAACCCCTCACAGGCCCCGCTTCCAGTGGTGATGCTGCTGCCAGCAGAGGGGGCGCGAGAACGCCCTGGGATGGGGATTCTCCCAACGTTGCTGCTGCTTGGACTGCAGATGCGTCCGACTCTGCTGCAGTGGATGGAGATGCTTCCAACCCTGCTGCTTGGACAGGGGACGCTTGGATTGCAGGTCTTGGGGCTGGACCAGCAGAGGGGTGCACGTCAAAGTAGGACACCTCAGCATCGTACGATCTGATGGTGGGTGGGGGTGGGGGGGAATAAACAGAAAGGTGTGGGGGTGGGGTCAAGGAGAACACCCAGCAGAGGGGTGCACGTCAAAGTAGGACACCTCAGCATCGTATGACCTGATGGTGGGTGGATGGGCGGGACGGAATAGAGAGAGGTTGGTGTAAGATACACAGTGGAAGGGGTGGGGGTGGGGTCAAGGAGAACACCCAGCAGAGCAGTGCACGTCAGAGTAGGACACCTTGGCATTGTACGACCTGATGGTGGGTGAGGTGGACGGGTGTGATAGGGAGTTGACTCTGGGTTGACCAGGTGCTCCTGGGGTTGGCCCAGCAGAGGAGTGCACGTCGAAGTATGACACCTCTGCATCGTACGATCTGATGGTGGGTGGGCGAGATGGGGTGGGGAGAGGGGTGAGCCTCCGTGCACCCTGCTTGTGCTGTTCACCGGGTGCTCCTGGGGCTGGCCCAGCAGAGGAAAGCACGTCAAAGTAGGACACCTCCGCATCGTACGACCTGATGGGGTATGGGCAGGACGAGGTGGGATGGGTGGGGGTGGGGTCAAGGAGAACACCCTGCAGAGGAGTGCACATCAGAGTAGGACACCTCCGCATCGTATGACCTGATGGTGGGTGGAGGGGAAGGAATAGGCAGGGCGGGGATGGGAAGAGGAAGGGATGGGATAAGAAGAGGAGGGAGAGGTAGAGGAAGGGGTGAGGTAGGCAGAGGAGGATAAGGGACAGGGATGGGATATCCACATTTGGGCCAAGGAGGCTGAATGTGGACGAACAGGGAGGAGGACATAGGCAGAGTTGGATTGACTTGCATTGCCTATCTCGCAACCACATTACATATAACTCAACCGCGCTTCGCCGCACTGCACCCACCTGTGGTGCAGGTACCTCATGAGCCCAGCGTAGTCATACAGCGCTGGCCCCATCCATCTGAGCACTCCTTGCACTGCACTGCGGCTGCTAGCTAACACGCTGCATCCCTCCGGACCGCGCTTCACCGCACTGCACTCACCTGTGGTGCAGGTATGTCATGAGCCCAGCATAGTCGTACCGCGCCGGCCCCATCCATCTGAGCCCCTCGCTTCGCCGAATCACATCGCCGTAGAATCCATAGCTGGGTGGGGGAAAGGGAAGAGAACCAGAAGCAGAAGAAGACAAAAGGAAAAAGACAAAGTGGAAGAATATAGGAGCACAAAACTGGGCTGGCAGCAACAAGTGACTAAAGAAGAGGCAACGCTCTGAGCTCAACCACACCACACCACATCACACCACACCACATTACACCACACCACATGCACGCACCCAAAGAAAGAGGCAGCATAGCGGACCTCCACACCCTCATCCTCCTCCTCTTCTTCTGTCTTTGCCTTAGCCCCTTCTGTTTCGCTCCCAGCTCCCCCAGCCTTCTCTCTTCCATCTCCACCCGCAAACCCCTCCCTCACAAGCTCCGCTTCTCCTTCGCCCCCCTCCTCCCTGCCTCCACTGCCCCCAATCTCTCCACCCGTCTCTGCCTGCTCCCCCTCTTTCCGTTGCCCCTCTTCCTCTTTCTCCTCCTCTGACTGCTCGCCTTGCTTCCCCGCCTGCTCCTCTTCCTTCCACGTAGTGATTCTCGCCACATCCAGAGGCATGCGATGGCCCAGAACCACGTGCAGCGCTGCAGTCGTAGGGTCTCGAGATCCTGTCACACTGGTGTGGGGAGGAATGTGGGTAATGGGCGGAGTGGTATTGGTAGGAGTGTGGGTATTGGGAGGATTGAGGAGCATTGGCCGGCTGGGGAGTGGGCTGGCAAGCGGTGACCCAAGTGTGCATGCGGTGCTGGCACATTTCACAGCATAGCTACACATGATAATGCGATGTTATACCGAGTGCAATATCTACCTCATAATGATGCAATCAGTAGATCCAGCAGGGATGATGCCAATACGCAAAGCATGTGGCAGTTGAAGGCCCACGTTCACACACTCAGCTGCCTCTGACTGTGCCCCCTCTACTTGTGCCCCTGACTGTGCCCCCTCTACTTGTGCCCCTGACTGTGCCCCCTCTACTTGTGCCCCTGACTGTGCCCCCTCTACTTGTGCCCCTGACTGTGCCCCCTCTACTTGTGCCCCTGACTGTGTTATCGCTTCAACAGCATTTCCACATCCCCTAGCTTCTTCCCTGTCTCCATCCTCCTCGCTACTCTGCCCTCCGTCACTCCTTGCTCCCAGATTTGCAAACAGACTCTCATTTGTAGCAGCAGCAGCCGCATCATTGGTAGCAGCAACGGCAGGAAAAGGAGGAGCAGCGGCAGCGCCACCGGTTGGAACAGAGCCACCAGCACCACCAGCATCACCAGCCGCAACACGTGGCAGTGATTCATCGCTAGACTCTTCCAGCAGCACCCGTTTGACCTGGCTGCTATTGCTGCTGCCTTGCCGATTCTCTGCTTCTGCCCCTGCTACTGCAGGTGCTGGCTCTGTCGCTGCTGTTGCTGCTGCTGCTGCTGCTGCTGAAGCGGCAAGTCTTTGGGGCGAGGAGGAGGAGGAGGAGAAGGAGAGGCGCAAGGGGCGAGCAAGCAACCGAAAGGGAGACAGAGAGGTGAGAGAGTGAGAAGCTGACGTGGGTGGGGATGACTTGACAGAGGACGGAGCGGCAGACGAGAGAGCAGCAGGGGAACCAGAGGAGGCGAGTGGGGGTGGTGTGGAAGAGAGATGGGAGGAGGGAGGGAGGGAGAGGCGTGCAGAGGAGAGGCGAGAAGGGTGGATGCAGGGGGGGGCGTGGTGTCGCCTCTTGGCCAGCCCGTTCAGCACCTCGTTGAACAGGCCATCGCCTCCCTGTTTGAGAGTGGGCGGGTGGAGACAAATGGTGAATATTTAGAGATCCTGGAGTACATGGGGGGTTGTATTGGGAGTTCGTAGGATCCTATTTCCAAGGCGCCTCTTGGCTAGCCCGTTCAGCACCTCGTTGAGCAAGCCGTCCCCTTTTCTGTTGGGAGAGGGGCAGGCGGGAGGAGAATGGAGACTGTGTAGACATATTGGACTGCATCGGATCGTATTGAAGTCTGTCCATCCGTCCTCCCGACCATCCGTCCGTCCTTCCACCCACCCACCCGTCCATCCATCCATCCACCCACCCACCCACCGTTCACCCATCCACCCATCCAATGACTCACCACAACCAGAATGCCATCAACGGCTGAGATCTCCTCATCAGTCGCCCCATACACGGCATCAAAAGCGTGGTTCTGCCGCTGCGTGACCACCTCAGTAACCGCCACTCCCGCCCGATCAAACACGGGCTTCACCGCTGCCCACGTCTTGAGCGCCTTGCGGTGGCCGCCGATGGGGTTGATGAACGCCTGGAGATTGCAAGCAAGGGGAAAAGAAAACTCGAGGAGAAAGAGAGGGAAAGTGGGGAGGTGGGGGAAGGTGATCCTGCACTGACCGCTACCCACGTCTCGAGTGCTCATGTCTTAAGTGCGTTGCAAGGAAGACTTACAAAGCAGGAAGTGAGGTGGAAGTGAAACAGGGAATATTGCATTCCTGAATGTGAGGTGCAGAGTGGGAAAAGTTAATAAAAGACGAGGCATGCACCTTATCTGCCCTCACCACCAGATCACCACACCAGCACCCATGTTCACCTCTTCAGCACCCATGTTCACCACTTCAGCACTCATTGTCACCGCACCAGCAGGTTCCGGGGCCGTTCAGGGTCCGCCCTGAGCAGTGATTGGATAGAATCGACCCACTGCTGACACACGCTGACATCAGCGTGACTCAGAACAAGCTGCACGGGTGTCCACCTGTCAGCAGCCTTCCGGAAAGTATGGATGGCCAGACGATGCAGCTGCAGGTATGAGGAATAAAGGGAAACGAGGGAGAGAGAGGGGAAAGAAGTAGGTTTTTGCCTGAAAGGTGTGGTGGGGAAAAAGGGGAGAGAAGGAGAGTTGGCCTGTACTGGTAAACATCAAGCAGAAAACTTTCACCAACACCTCATCTAATCCCTCCACGGCGTAGATATCCACCACGGAAACAATCGTGAGAGTCTGTAACTTAATCTAGCTGTTGGTCCCACTCACTCTAGCTGCTGGGCCTAAGAGACTCCCTTTCACCGCCGCCTCATCCAATCTCTCCACTGCGTAGATTTCCGCCACGGAAACGCGTTTCGCCCTTCCAGACGCCTCCCTCTGCGGGCTCCCCGCCTTGCCTTGTACGGCCTGGTTCAGGAAGACAAGCAACGGAATGGCGATAGCCAGTTGAGGAGAGTGTTGAGAGTTATGCATTGGAGCGCAGAATGCCGCGTATAGCGTGGTGCAATAATTCGTGGTCGAGAGCACGAGTTAACAGGTGACGATGAGTGGCGACCGGATCCGACGCAACTCGTGATGACTTTTGAGTCGACTCAAAAGTCGACCGGATCCGACGCAACGCGTGATCGTCGGATCACGACGTTCTGGTGACCACGTCCTCTTACAGAACTCAACCGAGGAAGGAATCTGAAAGGTGTGAGGACAAGGGATTTCAGCAAGCAACTGACTGTAGCGATTCGAATCCCATTTCGACAAATGCGACGGTCTGGTGTAAGATTCTGTCGCTCCAGAATCGATAATCTGTCAATACCAGTTTCTAGAGTATGTGTGCAGCTCGCAACTCGTATTTTGTGCACCTCCGGCGTCTAGGTGCTGTGCCTTGTCAGATGGCGACTTCATATGAGGTGACTATGTAACTGACGCCTGAAACTGCGGCTGCTACTTGTCAGACGATGGTTCCATACGAGATGACCATGTAACTCACGCCTGACTAGATTTGATGCTACCTTGTCAGAAGACGGCTTGGTGCGGCGCCAGACGACGGCATTCTCGAGGAGCACGACACGAAAGTCGCCGGAGTTCGGAATCAGAAAGTCGTCTTCAAGCAGCTTCCGATAGCTTCCACCATGGTTCTCCGCAACGCTAATTCGAGGCTCGCCGTTTTCCATTCCTCTTGCTACGGAAGGATCTGGTCCTAGCCGAAATAGGTAGGGACTCTCAGAGAACAAATATCTGCTGAACTGACCGCGTGTATGCAAGATCAACAAAATCCCTAGCTCTTCCAGCCTAGAACAGTCTTCCCTTGTTAGAAATGGTCCAGCAAGTCTCCATTGTCAAGCAGCAGAGTGACAAGTAGAAGAATGACATTGCATGCATGGAATGAGAAAATGGAACGACATTCCCAAAGCAGCTCGAATTTCCCAGCGCAGATCAAGGACGCTGTTGATTGGCCCTCAAATGAATCCCGAGGTTTCGCGGATCCCTGAGATTTTACCGAGGGATTAGTGTTCACTTCGGTAGGATGCATCATCCTTATTCCGCCACCCACCGTGGCTCTAAGATCTAGCTAGTGCACTGTGCGTGCTCTATTCGTTGTTGTTACGAGTGCAATTGAGTGAACGAACGAGAATTGCACTATCGAAGCAAAGAGTACAATGAGCGAAGGCATGAGCGAAGGATTATATAGCGAAACAATAGTGGTAACGGTAATGGACTGTGGTTGTCGCGCGACGAGCCTGGGGCTGAGGTTGGGAAAGTGTCGAAGCGTAGGCCCGGAGCGCGGGTTACCAGCCGAGCCGTGAGGTCGGGATGCGATGTGCGAAGAGGGCGGGATAATGAATGATGCGATGGTCGTGAGTGGTAACGGTGCTGACTGAGGTGCTACAGTGGCGTACGCGTTGAGCAGGGACGCGAAGTAAGGAAAAGGGAATTTCCTTACACTACCCCCCTCCCCAAGGAGGCCCCTCTTACGAGAGCGCATGGATGTCGCGGAAATTTCGGCTTCGCAGATACTCGGGGAAGACAGGGTGGTTCTCAATTTTATCCAGGGGGACCCAGTTGTCTTCTGTGGGCGTTCGGTCCTTCCAGCGAATTAGGAACTCTATCCTTCGGGCTCCCCGAGGGTCGCGGACTCGGTGGCTGAGGATTTTCTCAGGGGTGATGAGTGGTTCGGTTGGGGGACGTGTCATGCTGGCTGGGCGATTTCGTGGCAGTTGGCTCGTGGATGGGATGTAAGGGCGAAGTAGGCTGACGTGGAATGACGAGCTGACGTACCAGTCAGCAGGGAGGAGGAGGTGGGCGGTGACGGGTGTGATCATGTGGCTGATGCGGAATGGCCCACAATACCGGGGGCGAAGTTTTGGAGTGATGGGCAGGCGAAGATTCTGAGTGTCGAGTAATACGAGGTCGTCGGGCTGATAAGTAACGGGTCTGCGATGTCGATCGGCGTTACGTTTAGCGATGATGTTTGATTTTTTGATTGCTTCTGCTGCCCTGGTCCGTGCTGCTTGCAGAATCTCGGCGAACTGTTGTGCTCGTGGGACTGGGTTGTCGGGATTCGGTGTCATGGGTACTGTTGGGTCCTGTCCGTAATTCAAATAAAACGGCGACTGTTGCGTCGTGGCTGATGGTGCGTTATTGTATGCGAACTCGATGAGTGGCAGCTGCTGTTCCCACGTATTCGGGTCGTCGCACGTGGCTCGAATCAGCTGCTCCATGGTCTGATTTGTCCGTTCCGTCTGTCCGTCGGTTTCGGGGTGATAGGATAAACTGAACTATAAGCGCGTGCCGAACTGCTGCCACAGGTTCCGCCAGAAGTTGCTGGTAAATTTCGTGTCCCTGTCGCTGATGATCGACGCGGGTATCCCGTGCAGTCATACGACGGTGGCGATGAATAGTCGGGCGGTTTCTTCGGCTGTGATGGATTTCCTGCATGCTGCGAAATGAGCCATTTTCGTTAGTCGATCGACGACGACCATGATCGCGTCATTCCCACTCGCCCGAGCTGGTAACCCCGTGACGAAGTCCATCGTCACCTGCTGCCAAGCACGCTCTGGAGGCGGGATGGGTTGTAATTGCCCCGCTGGTCGCTTCCTGCTTGACTTCATGAGCTGGCAAGTGGGACACGATGCCACGTGTCGTTGCACATCGGTCAACATTTCTGGCCAGTAGTAGTACCGCTGCAGCTGCTGCCGTGTTTTTTCTACCCCGAAATGTCCCGAGGTAACTCCGTCGTGTGCTTCCTGTAACAGTAGTTCCCGCAGTAGCGTGTATCCCGGTACCCAGATGCGGTCGGTTCCAGTTTTTACGTAATAGACTCCTTTTGCCGCTGCGAATTGCTGTGAGTTGCCTCCTGTAAAGAACGGGTCTGTTTGATATCCGTGGGTAAATAGGCCGGTAAGCAGTGGGCTGGTCTGGGCGAGTAGTATCGCGTGGATCTGGGCAGTGGGGCGGGTCAGTGCGTCGGCGATATTCGATGCTCCTTTTTTGTATGTGACCGTATAGTGAAAATTCGACTCGAGGAAATCGAGCCATCGAATCTGTCGTGGGTTGAGGTGGGGCTGTGCGCGGAGGTACTGTAGAGATCGGTGGTCTGTCCGTACTGTCACGTCTGCGCCAGTCAAGTAGCAGCGCCAAACTTTGAATGCATGCACGATCGCGAGCATTTCGCGGTCGTGTATCGGGTAATTTCGCTCAGGCGGATGTAGTTTGCGTGATTCGTAGGCGATGGGTTGGAGGCCGTTGCCGAAGTCCTGTAACAGTACAGCTCCGATGGCGATGTCACTTGCGTCGGTAACCACTTCGAAAGGGCGGTGGGGATCAGCGATACGTAGAACGGGTGGTGAACAGAGGACGTTTTTTAGGGCAGAGAAGGCAGCATGCTCTTTCTCCCCCCACGTAAAAGCGACCCCCTTACGCAGTAAATCAGTTAGTGGGGCTGTTAAACGTGCCATGTCGGGCACGAACCGTCGAACGTAATTAACAAACCCTAAAAAACTCTGCAGTTCCGTGATGTTCGTCGGGGGGCGCCACGCTTTTACCGTATCCAGCTTCTTTGGGTCGATCTCAACCCCAGCCTCGGAAATGACGTGACCTAAAAACTCTAGCCTATCCCTAAAAAACTCGCACTTGGAGCCCTTGGTGAGCAGACGATGTTCCTCTAAAACCTTAAAAACTGCTTCAAGATCTGCTAAGTGTTGCTGCTTATCCCGACTGTAAACGAGGATATCGTCGAGGTAAACGATCACGCATTTATCTAAAAGTGGTCTAAACGCCTCGTTCATGGTCATCTGAAAAGTCGCAGGCGCGTTCGTCAACCCGAAAGGCATTACTGTATACTCGAATGACCCGTACCTAGTCCTAAATGCTGTTTTTGCGCAGTCCGATGGTTCAACCCGAATCTGATGGTAACCTCCCCGTAAATCTATTTTCGAAAAGACACGTGCTGTTCGCAGTTGGTCAATCAGTTCGTCGGCGCGGGGGATGGGGTATCGCGATTTGACTGTTACTCGGTTAAGCGCTCGGTAGTCGATGCACATGCGAAAACCTCCGTCTTTTTTCGGTGTGAACAGTATGGGTGCGGCGAACGGTGACGAGCTTGGTCGAATAAACTGCTTCTCTAACAGGTAATCTAACTGCTTCCTTAACTCGTCGAGCTCGGGCTGTGTCAGTCGAAATTGCCGTTGTACTGTTGGCTGTGCCCCCGGTTCTAGCTCGATCCTATGGTCGTGCGCTCGCTGAGGTGGCAGTCCCTGTGGTAAATCATCCGGAAATATCCCCGGGAACCGTTTCAGTAGTGCCTGTAATTCGGTCGGTACGGCTGCTAGCAGTTTCTTTAAATCATTCTGCTGCTCGTCTTTTTCTACCACTGCGATATCCACTGCGTACACGTCAGCTCCAGCAGCGACAGCCCGTTTCATCGTGATGGCGTTGACCTGGACTGTCGAAGATTCGGGTGGCCGCCAGCGAGGTAGGACGACCCAGTTACCGCTACTTCGCACTGTGCAGCTCCCCGTCGTCCAGTCGATCCGTGGGTTGTACCGTCGCAACCAATCACGTCCCAGTAAAATGTCGTGCCCATCCAGCGTCGTTGCGAGCATTTCCTGTGTAAACCCGAAGTTTCCCCCGCAGCGGACTTTTACTCGCTCCACTTTTTCTCGTATGGCCAATGGCGTGCCGTCGACTAAGCGTGCATCTATCTCAGGTAAACATCGGTTAAGTATTAACTGTAATCTCCGTGCGGTTGCAGTATTAACTAAGCTGTGACTTGCCCCTCCGTCAATGAAGATTTTCACTGCTGCTCCCTGTATTTTCCCGTAGATCAGTACCGGGCAATCCGTCGCTGTACCCTCCTTATTCATCCGAGCCCGATCGATGGCGTGAATCGGTACTGTGACTCGGTGAGGGTCGGTGTGGTTGGGCGAGCAAGCAGTCTCGTCAGTAGTTGGCCCAACTTCTACTGACTGCTGGCGTTTCCCTGCCTCCGAGACTCCTTCCCCTGCTCTACTCCTCGACGCCTCAGCTCCTCTGGACATTCGCTTTTGCGATGGCCCGGCCGGTTGCAAGCAAAGCAGCGCCCTCTAAATGGCGTGGCAGCTGCATTCGTTGCGACGGCATGTACAGTGGCGTGCTCGATCGGTCCCCGAGGACGATGTCCGAAATAGGACCCCGGTCTCGGTCGGCGTAGGATATCGATTTTCTCGGCGAGCGCGAGGATTTCGTTGAAATTCGATAGCCCGCGTAGCATTATCTCGTGCGATATGTCCGGCTTCAGCCCTCCGACGTAACGGTCCACCCGCTCCGCCTCGTGCATGTAGCCGACCTGTTCGCAAAGTGCGAGAAAACCGCTGGTGTAGTCTTGAACCGACCCGAGCTGGCGCCAAGTGCGCAGTTTCTGACGCGCCGAAATCGAAGCCGCGATCGGCTCAAAACGCGCCCGAAGCCCTGCGCACCACGCATCCCACGTGCTGTATTGGGCTGTTTCGCAGAACGAACTCCAGGTGACAGCTGGACCCGAGGGCCCTTCCTCGTGCGACGGTGGCTCGTAGGCGCGTGGCGACGTCACGATGACTCGCCACCAGTCCATGGCGGGGCCCCTGAGTAGTGAAACCGCATACCGAATCTTGGCGGCGTCCGACTCGACGTAGTTGGCGTCGAAAAACACATTCATCGTGAAGACCCACGATTGAACTGTCGGGCCGCCGCGTTGGCTTGGGTCGAAGCAGGGCGGGCGTTGCGGCTTGAGTGGCATTGGGGCCATCATGGCGTTTTCACCACTTGTCGTCGCGAACTCCACGTGCCGACGGGCTTCTCGGGGCTCCCGTGGGCTTAGCGTGCTCCTGTTCCCTCCCATGCCGGGCATCGGTTGGGCTGCGCCGTCACTGGCTGCGCCTGAGCGCTGTCCCGTGCTGTTGTGTTGCGTTGGTGTGCCGGATGAAATGATAATCGGCTCCTCCGAATGTACAGAGACATTGGTTGGTGCGTGGGATGTTGTCGGAGCATTCACCGTTGACTGTTGACGAGCGGAGTCACGTTCCGCCGTGAGCGTCGCGATTTCAAGCGCCGAATCCTCCAATTGTCGCACGAGACGATCGAGTTGCTCCTGCGTCAACGTGGCGAGATTGAGGTCGGCCATGGCGGGGGTGTCGGGCAAGCTCAGCGAGAGCCTCGGTCGTGGCCGTGCGTGCTTGCGAGGGAGCACTACGAGCGGCGGTGCTGTGTCGCTGAGAGACGTCTACCCCCCCCAAAAATTGAGATAGTGGGAAGCGAAGGTGTGGATGCGGTCCGAGATGAGATCGTAGGCTCTGATTACCAAGTGTTACGAGTGCAATTGAGTGAACGAACGAGAATTGCACTATCGAAGCAAAGAGTACAATGAGCGAAGGCATGAGCGAAGGATTATATAGCGAAACAATAGTGGTAACGGTAATGGACTGTGGTTGTCGCGCGACGAGCCTGGGGCTGAGGTTGGGAAAGTGTCGAAGCGTAGGCCCGGAGCGCGGGTTACCAGCCGAGCCGTGAGGTCGGGATGCGATGTGCGAAGAGGGCGGGATAATGAATGATGCGATGGTCGTGAGTGGTAACGGTGCTGACTGAGGTGCTACAGTAGCGTACGCGTTGAGCAGGGACGCGAAGTAAGGAAAAGGGAATTTCCTTACAGTTGTCTAGAGAGGTTTGGTTCGTTCAAAGGAGGTAGACCCAATCATATATTATAACAACAATAACATGCAAAAGCACATTGGCTTTCCTACCATATGCAATTGGCCAAGCACGCGCCATAATGAGGGGAAGATGCAAAGCAAAATCGGGAAGACATGACATGATTAGTGAACCAGGAAAAGTGACTGCAAGGACAGCACCGAGTGTCCCACAAGCAGAAAACAACCTTTGGCTTGGCAAAAGAGAGCACCCCCCCCTCCCCCCAGTAGCTCACATAGGTACGGTATATTCACCATTGTATGTACAAACAAAGCTCCAATACCGTCCACCTTTTTATCCAATGAGCTCCTTTGACAGTACGCACAAACGTAGCAAGCCATCTGCGACGGCATCTGAAAGCTCCCTCTGAAAACACACAAAAGAGGAAAGGAACGAACGAGGGATCTGGATGAGAAGGGAGTGGATACTACAGGCATGTATGCAACCATTTAGCCCAAGACCAATAGTGGACAACAAAGGCTGGGTTGGGTAACCGACTTCTCGATCCTCTCGCTTCCCTTCCCTTCCACCCTTCACACATACTGTGCTGCAAGTGACACATACCGTGCTGCAAGTGACACTTAGAGGTCCCAATAGCAGCTTCCAGTCGCTAGAAGCAGCAGATGGGCCTCTCCTTTCAGACAGCCCTCCCCTTTCAGACAGCCCTCCCCTCTCAGGCCAAGCAGCCGCACCACCCACCACCTCCTCCTCTTGCTCCTCCTCCTTCCTCCTTTTCCCCCTCCTATGCTGCTTCCTCTTTCGCTTCCTCTTCCGCAGCCTGTGAGACTCCCCGCTGCCTCCTTCACTTACTCTTCCTTTTCCTCCTCCTGTGCTTGTCCCCTCCCTTTCACTCTCCCTCCCGCTATCGCTCTCAATCTCCCTCTCACTCCTACTCTCACTCTCATCTGAGTATCCGTCCCCATCAAAAGACGCTTCACTATCGCTAGAAGCAGGGGCAGAGGATGATGAAGAAGAAGCAGAGGAGGAGGAGGAGGTATCATCTCTGCTACTCTCGTTCCTCCGCCTCCTCTTCGTCTTCTTCCTCTCTCTTCTCTCCTGCCTCTTGCTCCTCCTCTTCCTTCTCTTGCTACTCACCCTACCCCCTCCGCGTCTCACCTTGCCACGCCTACCCTTCTTCTCCTTCTTCATCTCCCTCTTCCTCCTCTTCTCACCACCTTCCCCATCCCCCACCCTCTCAACCCCACCCTCCCCGCCCACCTCACCCATCCCCCCCTCACCTCCTCCCCTCTCCACAGCAACACCTAAACGCCTCAACATCACCCCCACAGCCTCATCTCCCCCCGCCAGACATCCCATCCCTGCTAATCCGTCATCATCCATTCCCGTATGCCCTCCATCCATTCCCATACTCGCCATGAGATGCGCCCTAACCATCCACGTGCCAACCACCACCTCTATCCCTGCAATGCTCTCCTCCCCTCCCTCCCACTCCCTTCCTCTTTCCCTTTGCCTCTCTCTCTCCCTCTCCTCACCCCTCCGCCTCCCCTCTCTCGCCCTCCCCTCTCCTTCCTCCACACCACCACTTCCCAGAATATAGCCTACTAGCTGCTTCCCAGGTGGCTCCCCCACAGAGGTGGCGAAGCAACCGCGCAGCACCGCAGTCAACTCCTCCCGCTCGTCGGCCCACTCGGGCTCCCGGAGCAGCAGCAGAGCGGTCTGCCTGCCGTGGCACGCACCGGCCACGAGGAGGAGCAGGCGCTCGAATGAAGAGAGCGAATCCAGCGAAGGGAGTGATGCGAGTTGGTCTGCCTTCACATCCCTTGCCCTCCTGCTGTTCCTCTCCTTATCCCTCTCCCTCCTCCTCCCTCCGGCCCCCTCTAATCCTCTCCTCATCTCCATCCCAGCATGCACCAATGAGAACCTCGTCCATCATTCCTTGTGCCTCCACCATCCCCGCTCCCACTCCCATCTCAATCACCCTTCCCTCTCTCCCTCTCCTTTCCCTTGCCCCAGCCCACCCATCTCCGCCCCCCTCCTTCAATCTTCCCCTCTCCCTTTCAATCCCCCTCTCCCTCTCTCGACCATCCTCTCGCTTCCTCCCACCCTCCCTCCTGTCCGGCCCCCCTCCTTCCTCCCCTCTCCTCCCCTGCGCCCATCGCCACACCCCGCGAGCAACACTCTCCAGCCCCTCTTCACCCGCCCCAGCCAGCACCCGAGAGCACAGCAGAGCCCAGTCAACCGAGTCAACAAAGTCTTCCACCAACTCGTGTACCATCTCTCTTCCTTGTCGCCCTCTCCTTTCCTCTTGAATTTGTATTTGCGCTTGCATTCGCTCCTCCCTTATCCACACCTTCCTTACCCTCACGTCCCTCCCATCGCCCTCCCTCCTCTCCGTGCGTAACACTTCCTCTACTCCTTCCTCCCACCCTCTCCTCCTCCTCTCATCTTCCATCTCCCTTACAAGCCTCCTCATCAACTCCTCTACAAAAAAACTGATATCCAGCGACAAGAGCGCGCCGTCTTGTAACGTCTTCCGAAGCTCGTGCGACGACCAGAACTCGGGCACCTCGCGCAAAAAGTTTTTCATGGTGCCCGAGATGTCCAGCTCGCAGAAATAATGCGGCCGGGCAGCAACAGTAACAGGTGTCTGCGCATGCTTCCCTGCCCACACCAGCCGGTGCCAATGGTCCTCCCGATGTGCAAACGCAAACTCGGCCAAGGCTTGCGCCCCGAACCTGTGGTTCCGAACCAAAGCTCGGGTCGGCAAGACAAGCCGGCCCGAACCTGGACTGTCCCGGTGCAGAGCGTCACCAGCTGCTGCCGACCCTGCCAACTTGGTGTGGGCCGAACCAGAACCAGAACCAGCATAGGCAGTAGCAGCATAGGCGCTTGGTCTCTGCTGTTCCCTGCTCCTCTCCCCCTCTTCCCCCCATCTGCCCCCTTGACTGCCAGGCCCCAGACTGAAATGGTCGAACCACAAGAGAATGCGGTGAGGATTGGCTGTAGAGGGTGGATGGGGGTTGGTGGAGTGGAGAGAAAGTGAGGCATGGGAGCAGGAGAGGGGTGAGGAGAAGGGAATAGAATAATGAGAGGAGAGGATTGGCTCACTTCTACTAGAGTTGACTTGCTTTGACTCGCATTGTCACACCCTGACTGGATTGACTCGCGTTGACTCACCAGCAAAGAACGAGCGGATGAGGTCAGGGTCATGCATCAGCAGCCGGGCGGCATCTTTCGGCCTTTCCTCACACAGCAGTTGCAGCAGCTGGCGCAGCAGCGAGCGGTCAGAGGCGCCTGGGGAAGACTTGGAGGGGGTTGGGGAGGAGGGGGGAAGGGGAGGGGCATGGGAGAAGTGTGGGGGTGTGGGGAATTAAAGCGGGGAAGGAGAGGCATGAGCGGATTAAGAGAGCTGTCAGAGGCGCATGGGGCTGGGGAGGGTGTTGGGACGCTGGGAGTTCGAGAGAACCGGAGAGGGAGAGCGAAAACAGGGATGCGGAATGAGGGTCGGGGGAGGGGGAATGGAGGATGGGGGACGAGGGATGCGGGGCCTTGGGAGTTTTGAGAAAGGCGCTCCTTTCCCACGGCCTCACCAGGGTCGAGCGATCCGCTGCGCGCCACGAGCCGGCAGACAAGCGCGCGGCGCAGCGCGGGCGGGAGCTGCACGCGACCGATTAGCGCCGCGAGCCACGTGCACGCCTCGCGCCGGTTGCTGGGGTCGCGTAGCAGCACGCGGCGCAAGATCGCCGCGACGGCGTCCACGGCGCCGCGGAATCCGTCCATCGGCGCGCTTTGATTCGCGAAACGGTGGGCTCTGCTTGCGACGACTCAATAAGACTCCATCGGTGAACTCTGTGGTGGCGAGACACTGCGAGGCGCCGCGAGTAGCGCGAGCGGACAGAGCTTGGGGGAGCTTCCAGGGATGAGCTGCGGCGCGTGCCTCCTACCGAACGAGCGAGTGGCCACGTTCGTACCAAAATTTGTTGTGTGCTGTCACATTACGCAGTTATCAAGTCTGGTTATGGCGAGTTTGAGATGTCTCCATACGCTCTAACAGCAACCTTACCAACTGCGGTAGTGCATCAAGCTATTTGGATTGATGAGCTGAAACCGATAATAAGATACTTCAACCACTGTACTGCAGTACTGCTGTTTTGTGCGTGTATTTATATTTTACGTTTAAGATACCTGTGAATTAGATTGAGTATTGTCTTTTGGCATGGAGTTATTAAAAAAAGGATTGAAAGGAGAATTGAAAATATGCACATATATGTTAATATTTGAAACATGTTAGCAATTAAATATGTTTTGATCAACTGGGATAATGTTGCTTTTGAAGGGATGCATTTAACAAGCTGGTGTTCATATTGAGACTTCAAAACCTAGACCTGAACCGTTTTGGTATACTCTATTTTTGCCATTATTTAGATTTCACTAACCTTGTGTCTAGTGGCACAGAGATGTTGGGTTGATTTCAGGCATTTTAGGTATGATTTGGGACAACGATAGTAGCACTCAAATATAAATATAAATTGCCGACAAGGGGGTATAGGGAACAAAGATCAGCAACATGAATTTTGCCAAAGATCGCACCACACGCAAAAAGGGATCCCTTGATCCCCCATCGAAACTTCCCTTTCCTAGACCACGCAGCACCCACTCCAGGTACCGCTGCGGAAGCCCTATCACGTTCTGATCAGCGCAATAAATCGCACAACCCCGCGCTAGCAGCAGCGCGGAGTGCTTTACAGGACGGGGCCAGCGTTGAGCACGTCGTCGGGGATGCGCTGTGCGGTGCCGCCCATTTCGAACTCGGTGAACTTGCCGAAGTTCTTTTGGAACAGCTTGCCCAGCTTCTCCAACGTCTCGCGGTACTTAGCCTTGTCCGCCCACTGCACGCAGAGAGCAAAACAGGAGCAATTGAGAACCATGGTGAGGGGATAGGATCGGGATGTTTGGGAGGTTTTAGCAGGGAGGTAAGAAAGGGGAGAGATAAAAACAGAGGTAAGAGAAGGGCTTTCATGGAGAGAAACGATGCGTACCAGGGTCTCGGGCTGCAGGCACTCGTTGGGGACATTGGCGCAGGTGGTGGGCACGAGCAGGTTGAAGACAGGCGTGGTGACCGTCTCCGCATTGGCCAGCGAGCCGTCGTGGATAGCGTCGATGATGGCACGCGTGTGCTTGATGCTCATGCGGTGCCCCACGCCGTATCCGCCGCCGGTCCAGCCGGTGTTGACGAGCCACGCCGTGCTGCCGTGCTTCTTGATGCGCTCCGCGAGCAGCGTCGCGTACTTGTACGGGTGCCACATCATGAAGGCCGCGCCGAAGCATGCGGAGAAGGTAGCCTCTGGCTCGGTGACGCCCATCTCAGTGCCGGCCACCTGAAGGTGAGGGAGGCATAGAACATTGGGAAGAGTTCATCATCTAGTTATGTAAGGAGGACGAGGAATTCAAGGACGCCTATCTTCTTAATTGATTAGTTCTGAAGCAGGCGTATTTCATGCAGGGTTGATTTGAACGTTGGTTGGGAGTGAGCCGTTGCATTCGAGCATCACAACCCTTCCCCGCCCACGCAAACCCAGTAACCCATCCCCCACACCCTCCATCCAGCACCCTGCGCATGTGCATCGCCCCCTCGTTGCTCACCTTCGCGGTGTAACCGGAGATGAAGTGGTACATGGTCTGCTCGAGCGTCAGCCGGCTGACGGGCGGCAGCACGCCGAACGCGTCGCACGTGAGGAGGATCACGTTGGTCGCGTGGCCCGCGATGCACGGGATCTTGGCGTTGGCGATGTACTCGATGGGGTACGACGCGCGCGTGTTCTCCGTGATGCTGCCGTCGTCGTAGTCCACGACGCGCGTGTGCGGGTTGAACACCACGTTCTCCACGACCGATCCAAACCGGATCGCGTTGTAGATGTCCGGCTCATTCTCCTTGCTCAGGTTGATGCATTTGGCGTAGCACCCGCCCTCGATGTTCGCCACACCATCATCACTCCACGTGTGCTCGTCATCACCAATCAGATACCGGTTCGGATCGGTGGAGAGGGTCGTCTTGCCGGTACCAGACAGCCCGAAGAAGAGCGAGACCTGGCCGTCCTTGGACATATTCGCGCCGGAGTGGAGCGACAGCACGCCCTTCTTGGGCATGAGGTAGTTCATGAGGGAGAAAAGCCCCTTCTTCATCTCGCCCGCGTACTCGGTACCGAGGATGACCATCTCGTTGCGGTTGAGATCGATGTCAACGGAGGTGCCCGACGACATGTACTTGGAGAGGCGGTTCACGGGGAAGTGGCCCGCGTTGTAGATGGTGAAGGCGGGCTCGCCGAAGTCCTTGAGCTCTTCCTCCGTCGGCCGGATGCACCTGGAGAGAGGCGAGAGAATGAAGGAATTACCCCGTCAGCAGAGGGAGAGTAGAAACCACTGGGAACCATGCGGGACCGCAATTGAGGACAATCGAGCATCATACACTAGTTAGACGAGATCGAGAGAGTCCGAATTTACGGGGATCGGGGTACTCGGTGGGGAGGGTGAGGGGGCTCACATGTTGTGCATGAAGAGCGCGTGGTAGGCGCGCGCACACACGATGCGGACCTTGATGCGCAGCTTTGGGTCCCAGCTGAGGAACATGTCCTGCACGTACACCTTGCCGATCGTGTTCAGGTAGTCGATGGCGCGCTCGCGGTTCACCATGAACGTGTACTCGTCCATCTCGTAGTTGGGTGACCCTCTGAAAACAGTCAATGAAAAAATGCGCGAAGAAAGTTGGAATCGGATCGCAGACATCGAAACGTTAGCAGAGGACGAATTGTGCAAATCTGAGTATTTCGCGTGAATTTGCGTGGAACAGCGTGGGATTGAGAGGGGTGGCGGTACTTACTCGCCCCACCAGATGTCGTCAGCGTGGTCTCTCTCCTTGACGACGCGCTTGTCCTTGGGGGAGCGGCCGGTCTTCTGCCCGGAGATGGCGCACAGCGCGCCGGTGGAGACGATGAAGTTGCCCTCCTCATGGGCGATGGCTTGCTCGTAAAGCTCTGCAACGCATCACCGCCGCCGAAATGTCCGTTAGAACAGGTAAACAATTCTTCAACTAGTCTATGTTAATCCTAGCTTTAAGCTGCCAAAAAATGTCGTCTAACCCCGAGAATGTGCAACGCTAGTGTGTCTCGCTGAAAGCAGAGACTCACCAGCGACGGAGAGGTTGTGGAGAACCTCCTTAGGCTCGAGCTTGGCAACATAGATGTCCTTGGGAGCGAAGTCCGGAATCTCCTTCACCTTCTGAATGTGCTCTCCAGCACGCGTGGTCTTCCTTGATTGGGCAGCTGGGTCGAACACCTGGAAAAGACGAGCAGAAGCGTAAGGCAGTTGTATTACCGGGTAATCGAATTGGAAGGGCAACGCTCGGCTTGATCAACTACATTGCCATGTGCTTGCGGGAAGAAAACATGTGCGCTCAAGCGTACCACTTTATCGTCCTTGGGAGCTTCGGCAGCCATGGCGGATTTGGGGTTACAGGAAGCTGATGAGAGAAAGCTTGGATCTAAACTGGTACCTCTAGGTAGCTGAGAATCGCTTTGCTATTGGGAGTGACAATAAACGCTGGCAATATTGACTGTGCTTTGTACTCGCAGATTCTCCTAAAGCTGTAGGGCCGATCAAGCAGGCTACGCATTTTCGCTTGGCTGCGACAGACATTTCCTCCACCTAATTCCGCTTCCCTCCCCCAATCCCAAGGCGCGACCTGGAGCTTCCGCACAGCTGTTCCGCCACGTGAGCTACTGTTCCAGCATTAAAGGCACACCAACCGCGTCAGCAAGGGCGGGGTAAGTCCATGTGGCTGATTCCTCCTGAGAGAGCGTGGCGCTGATTGGTGCTCGTTATGTACGTGGAGGGGATTTGGCGATCGGCGCCGTGATGTTGGTGTTTTTCGCGTGGTCTGTGCGACAGCGCATGGCGATGTCTTGTCCAGCACAGTACCTGTATGGTGTCTTCACAGCCGTCGATGTGCAGAAAGTTGTTCGCATAATCTTGCTGTGCTGTCCCGTAATTCTCGTCAAGATTGCCACCTGTTCCGAGGCATTTTCCCAATCTCGGAAGCCAGCCACCAGAGCCCCGTCAGCGAAACGTGATGGCCAAGCTTGCTGGAGATGGTGCTCGGTGGTTGGTGCACCTGCCACGGTGGGAATCTGGGCGACCTGTGATGCGATGCGCCAACCCTTCCAATCCGCATCAAGCAAAAAGCGGGGGAAAATGTGTGCTTGGCCCCCACACAACCAATTTGCGGGGGAGACCAGGTGGCCCCCACAGCGAACGCGTAGGTGAACCACTCAGACAGGCTTGCGCCAAAAGCGGGTACACATGATGCCCAGCCAGTGCACGCAAACTCGCCCTTTACCGGATGGAAACGCTGCACCCGAGGTCTTTTCTCCAGCCTGTTGCACCCACAATACAAGCGCGTCGCGTGGTTATGGACCAATAGTAACGAACAGACCGAAGTCAAACTGAAGAGACTGAAGTCAAAATGTCAACGAATAAGGTTACAGATCCTGAATATAAGTACCTGCGAATATTTTTTAGCTAACTGCGATTTGACGAAACTTATGCGAAATGCTCGATACGGCTTATACGCCCCCTTCACAAGGCAACCGGAAGGGGCTCAAACATGCATCAATTGTAGGCGGAGAAAACGCCTCTGCGTTCCGCTTCGCTCCGCTCGGGTTCCGCTTTCGTTTGGTCTGTTCCTTTGTTGGGGCACTCACCTTCGCAGCCAATTTGCGTGGAATGAGTGACACCAGCTGTAGGTGCTGGTCGGTCCAATTCGGTTGAATGCTTCTTTTCACCTTCGATCACAAGCTTTTGGTAGCTTGCTCCCACCCAGCCTTCCCGTTTGCCCCTTTCCGTCCACCTCCCTACCCATCAGATCGCAACAGTTCCTCAGCACGCGTCGGGACTCGAGATCTTTTTGCTGCGCTGGATAAACAGATTTCTTCCCTGGCCTTGAATCATGTCCAAAAGGAGTTGTGCCTGTCTCCCGTGATCGTGGGGAATGCGATGGTCGCTTCCAGCTTTCACGGAACTATGTTCCACAATTTGATAGTTTTCCCGCCAACGCCCAAACCTCCCACGCTCTGTTGCATTGCTGATGCATGGGGTGGGTGTGAGCAAATTTCTTCATGACATGTCGGCGATCAACAACAACCAAATTCACTTGCGAGGAGTCTCCAGAGTAGCGAACTCGTCCTGTTTTTTCCAGAAGTTCTCAATTGTTGAGATCTGATAGAGGTTCCTCTATCAGTAATACTGAAGGATTGGAAGCGCGACCCGCAACCAGTGTGATCAGTCCTCAACACTGTCATTTGACGAGATGCTACTTGCTTGACGATCGTTTTTTTTTCTGGTGTCAGGAACAATGATATTTATGAATAAGAGTTGTGAGAGTCTTAGAAGCGACGGGTGATTGCCGCATTACATACTACTTCAGTAAGGGCGGCTCGTGATCTCCACAGTTGGCTTAGTAGGCATAGAATCACCTCGACTGCGGCAGTTCAGATTCTCAAATGCGTCAATTTATTCGTACTCTTATTGCTCAAGCTGGAGGGCTTCGACGAGTGTGAACCAATGCGACTCGTCGTTATCCCATGATCACGCGTGAAGTATCATTGAAAAGGGGAGACGTTTGCACAAGGTAGGCCGTGTAAACTTGAAACAGCGACACATTTGAGCTTGGATACGATGGGATGCTCTACTCATGCTAATGAATGGCTTGGTCAATGCACACAGTGTGATGTTTGCGGGGATGGTGAGAAACCAGCGTTTCACAAATCGGGCTACTGAATCGTGATGTGATGCCGTTTCTGCTTCAGACGAAAAAGCAGGTATGTATATGAGAACATCCCTGGAGGATGAAGACCATCATTAGTATGGTCGTTGCAGATGCAGGAGCACAAACGCAAGGTTACTGAACAGGTGCTCAATGACGAGGTTGGGCAATCTTAATGGCAGCGTTTCCCTATTTTCTCAGGTTGCCATTAGTGATATATGCGTGAAGGGTGAATGGATAATGCTTTTTCGGCCATGAGGCTGATATTTGGTATTACAGGTGTAATGCGAACAAATATTGCTTCCCTTCTTTACTCGACTCAGGGCGCATTCGTGGCCCGTGCCAGACTTCAGGTCAAAAGCCCTTAGTCTCCGATTTGGATTATCCGAACTCGGATTTGCCTCACGAACGAGCCACTTCGGGTCTTCCGAGCCTCCACTTCGGGTCTGACCTGATGTCTGACACGGGCTACGAATGCGCCCTCAACATCATTCGAACTTGCCATGTTTCCTCGAAAAGCACTCGATTTTTGTGTGGGTAAAAGTCATCGCGGTACATTCAGCTAATAGAACGATGGGGTTGGGTTGAACATGGCCAAGATCGCCTCAAATGGTTTCGAAGGGTGCTGGCGGAGCGCACTGAGTCCGTATCCCCCATTAGGCGATTCGTGAAGGCGTATGCTTAGAACATTTGAGAGTGTGCTACGGAAGAACATTCCAAGCAAGAGAGTTGAATCTGCTCCCAAAAACAAATTATTTGATTCATTTCATTTACTGATGCCACGTTCCTCTGCAATTTGATGAAATAACTGAAGAATTAAACCACGAGCAGAAACGAGGGCTGATCCACACAGCTCGTACGAGAACCAAAGAAACAGCATGCCAGGCTCCCTGTAGCTGTCCCTGCCAGTGCTCCAGGCAGCAAAAAAAACCTGTTTACTGGATCACCCCTCGATCTCGCCTCCTTTAGCAGCAGCAGCTGCTGCCACAGGTGCAGAATTTGCTGTTGCTTTCTGCACAGCTTCCTTTGAATTGCCTATCACACCACCCTTGCCCTCGACCTTAGTCTCAGCAGCAGGAGGAGCAGCAGCAGCAGCAGCAGCAGGAGCGACAGCAGCAGCAGCAGCAGCAGCAGCAGCAGCAGCAGCAGCAGCAGCAGCAGCAGCAGCAGCAGCAGCAGCAGGAGCAACAGCAGCAGCAGCAGCAGCAGCAGCAGCAGCAGCAGCAGCAGCAGGAGCAGCAGCAGCAGCAGCAGGAGCAGACTCCTCAGGTTGTCTCCGCCACTGCAAGCTGCCTCTGGCAGAGGGCCGGCGAACAGCTTGCGCTTTCACACCCACAGCCAGGGCCTTTCCAGGCACAACCCGGGCAGAGGGGGACGCGAGGGCTGTGGGACTGGTGCCCGGAGCAGGGGAGGGGAGCTTGGTGGGCGTGAGGAGTGGGCGAGTGGGGCGGGTGGGCGTGATGGGTGGTGGGGTAGCAGAGGGGAGTGCCTCCACTGCTGCATGGGGCTTGTGGACGATCTGTGGGTGAGGGGAGGGGTTGCGGGAAGAAGAGTGGGAGAAGGGAGGAAGTTGATACGAGTACAGGCGTAGAGAGTGGGACTAGTGATGGCTGGTGTGGGCGCTGCTGCAGAGGGAGTGCCTCCACTGCCGCATGGGACTTGTGGATTATCTGCGGGTGAGGGGAGGGGGGAGAAGGGAGGGACAAGGGAGGAAGGGGGTGTAAATACTGGGTCGGAGAGTGGGAGGCATGACTGGTGTGGGTGCTGCTGCAGAGGGGAGTGCCTCCTGCTTCATGGAGCTTGTGGATTATCAGCGGGTCAGAGGAGGGAATGGGAAAACGGGGGAGAAGGGAGCGAGGGGGTGTGAGGACTGGGATGAAGAATAGGCGTGATGAGTGCTGGTACAGCAGCGAAGGAAACTGCATTCTCGTACTGAAAACAGACAAATTTTCCTCCTCACACACAGTAACAGAGAGAGGAGTGCCTCCCCTGTCGCGCAGAGCTTGAGGAGAATGTGTGTACAGCTGTGCTGGCAGGAGGGGACTGGGCGAGGAGGCGGCATAGCGAGGAAAGAATGGAACCCAGAGGAGATGGCGGAATAGAGAGGCGAAGAGGTGGAATGGAAGTACCTTGAGCGGGCGTGACATTAACGAAGCGTCGTTGAGAGCTAGGGCCTTGTCGACCGCTTCCTTAGTGGCGAACTCGATATGAGCACATCTGCAGTCAGTCAGGTGGAGAGGGCAGGGGATTGGGGGGCAGGCATGGCATAATTGTGTAAGTTTGGAAAGCAGACTTGCTACTGCAATCAAAGCATGTTGATGTTGACAATTACAATATTAGGATGACAAGTGGCTATTTAGGCATGCAATAGGATGCAATCAAAGCATGTTGATGCAGGGTGCACAAAAAGGTTTCGGGAAGCGTATGGTAAGAAAGCAGCACGTGGAATCACAAGGACTTTTGAGGCGCCTCAAGAAAGCAGGCAGCAATGGTGGGGAATCATGAGACCCTTTGAAAGCAGCAGGCGGGAATGGTTACCCTCTGGGGCGCCCAGTGAGAGGGTGAGTGAGGATGGTGACACGAGGCGGGAGGGAAGGAAGTGTCTGAAAATGGCAAGAATGCAGCAGGTGTGAATCACGCTCTGAAAGCAGCAGGTAGGAAAAAATACCCTTTGGGGCGGCCAGTGAGGGGATGAGTGAGGATGGTGACTCTGCGAATCTCCCCACATGCTGCGAAGTGGAGCGTGAGCGCTGCCACCGTTGCTGCAAAATGCACCTGCGGGGAGGAATGGGGATGGAGGGCGGAGGGGAGGGCACAGGGCAGAGGGCAGACTTTTGAGTCGACTCAAAAGTGAACGTGGAGCGCGAGCGCTGCCACCGTTGCTGCGAAGTGCACCTGCGGGGAGGAACGGCAGAGCAGAGGGCAGTGAGCAGAGGGCACAAGACAGGCAGGAAAAGGACTGTGTCACCAGGGGAGAAAATATTTATGGCAGAATGCAGGGGGCAGCACGCGTGGCTGTGGAGTGCGTTCCTCAACAGAAACGCTTCTTACTGACGACAGCACTCTTACTCCAGGTTGTTTCAGGTTGACATTTCTTGAAGCCCAAAGCGTGCAATAGCATCGCATAGTGGAGAGGGATCAGGGGAATTCTCGGCCGACTGGGAGTAAAAGCAGGAAAGGACTGGGGCGGTTGGGTGAAATCTTGTTAGGTGAGGTGAGGTGAGGTGAGGTGCGGTGGAGTGTGGTGGAGAGAGTGGAGCTCACATTCGAAACGAGCACGGAGCGATCGTCAGCGTCCCCTGTGGAGGGAGACTTGCGCACGAGGGAGAAGGGCGTGGGTGCATGGGCGTGCAGTGCGGTGGAGTGCGGTGAGGTTGACAACGTGCCGTTGGGGTGAGCAGCTGCTGTGAACGATACACAAAACGAATGGGGGAGAGAAGGGAAGGGGGGGGAGAGGAAAACGGGAGGGTTGGGAGGAAAGGATTAGGAAGGAACAAAGATAACAGACATGTGTTAAGCATGTGAGGTGACAGTGAAAGGGGGAGTTTCGCAAGGACGGATAGTGGGAGAAGTAGGGAGTTTTTGAGAAGTCTCAAAAACTCCCTGCAGTTTCGGAAGGACGGATAGTGGGAGAAGTAGGGAGGAGAAGAGAATGATATTGGGAGAGGGATACAGAGAGATCAGCCGGGCGATGGACACATGTGGTATCAGTTTTGAGACGTCTCAGAACACTACTTTTAGACACACGGGGGACTTGAGAGGGGTGAATGAAAAGATAATGCAAGGAGCCCGTTGGCAAGTGAATGAGCACGGGTGTGTACCTGTGGGCTTAGCAGGCGCAGCATCAGCATTGCTTGTTGCTGAACTAGCTTTAGCAGCAGCCTTATCGCCACCAGGAGCAGCAGCAGCAGCAGCCTTCTCCTGCAGTGCCTTCATCCGCCGCATCTCCTCCTGCATCTGCTGCAGCCGCTGCCTCATTGCCTCCACACTCTCCTGCCACACGGTAGAACGCGTGTGGATCCGCCAGAATGAGTGAGTGGGAAGGAAATGAGCGACCTGGGGAGTTTGTGCTTTTAGTCGAATCAAAAAGCGACAATCACAATTGCAGGAGCAAAAACACGCACCTGCTTCTGAGCCACTGGGCTGACTTTACTCTCTTTCACCTTCTCCATATCTTTATCCTTCTCGGTCTCCTTCTCGCCTTTCTTCGCCACCCAAGTCATGCTTCCCCTCCCCCGCCCCATGCTGCCTTGCCCCCCCCTCCCCTGCCTTGCCCCCATTCCAGTGCCAGGCCAAGACCGCCGCACTCCGCCCTCCTCCTGCCCGCTCCCCACTCCTCCTGCCCCCTGGGGCTTCTGCAGCTTCTCTAGCGCCTGCTGCACCTGTGTGTCGCCCTGCTGCAACTGCTGCTGTGGTTCATGCGGCTGCTGCTGCGGAGGCACTCTGAGCCACTGCCGCTGCTGCAGCTGCGGCCTTTGCTGCTGCTGCTGCTGCTGGGTTGACTGCAGCGCCTGCTGCTCATACTGCTGCTGAACCTGCTGCTGCTGCTGAGCCTGCTGCAACATCGGGGGTTGCTGAGCGTACAGCTGGGGGTTCTGCAGAGCAGGGACGATCACCAGGCCTACATTTTGCCCGGTTAAGCCCATCCCCATTCCCGCACCCATACCCAAGCCCATGCCATTCACAAGCACACCCCTTTGAATCAAATCCTCCCGCACAAATATCCTCCTCACGCCTCTCTCCCTGCTTCCTCCTCCTCTCTTCGCCCCTCCCTTCACCCCTGCCTGCATCTCTCCTCCCAGGCCCTCAACCCCCTCCTCTTCCTCCTCGTCCTCCTCCTCGTCCTCTCCTCCAAACCTTACTCGCATCCCCCCTCCCTCTCCTCCTCTCCCATCGCCCCACCCCTCTACTCCCTCACTCCACATACCCTGCTCAACTCCTCTCAACCCCTCCGTATACTCTCCTGCGTATTCTTCCCCATACTCTCCCCCATACCCTCCCGCATACCCACCCATATACCCTTCCTCATACCCTCCCCCAAACCCTTCCCCATACTCTTCCCCAAGCTCTGCTTGCCTCTGCACCACTATCCGCCCATCTCCACCCCTCTGCACACATCGTTTGCCCAGCCTCGCCCACACACTCCCTTTACCACCCTCCTTCTCCGCCCCCTCCCTGCCCTCCGTATCTTCCTCTATGCTCCCTCCCATTCTACCTGCCTCTGCGCCTTCCTTCCCTCCCCTACCTCTTGAATCTACTCTTGCTCTTTCCTCTACCTCCTCGCCCCCACTCCCCTCCCGCCCCCTCCCTCCCCTGCCTCCGCACTGCCTTGATCCGGCGAGGGGCGTCAGCAGGAAGAGACACCACCACTGATCGCAACCGTTTCCGTGCCCCACGCCCCTCCTCCTCCTCCAGTCCCTCCTCTTCTCCCCCCTCCTCTTCTCTCTCCTCTCCTCTATCCTTTTCCTGCTTCTCCCCTCTCTCCACTCCTCTCTCCTCTCCTCTCCCCCAATCCCTTCTCTCCTCTGCCCTTGCCACTCGCTCCTCCTCACTAGCTGCTCTAGCAGCACCCTTCACAGCACAAGGGGAGGCACCATCGGAGGCAGCAGGGGGAGCAACGAGGTCAGGAGACCTTTGAATGGCAGAGCGGCTGGGGGCAGACACGACAATTCGCCTTACTTCCCTCGTCGCCCTCACTTCCACTGCCCTTCCTGCCTCCTCCTGTTGCTCACCATTACTTCTTGCAGCGGCAGCAGCAGCAAGAGGTGCAGCCGCAGTGGCAGCATGGGGGTGAGCAGCAGCACGCACCTCCCTCGCAGGCTTCACAGCGTCTCTCACCGCAAACTGCCACAGCCTGCCGCCCATTCCCCTTGCTCCCCCGCCCACTTGCCGCCCTCTTTTCCCCACAACCTGCCCTCCTGCCATCCGTTCCTGTGTCCCATCCAAGCCCCTCCCATCCCTTCTCTCCACACCGTCCCCTCCCTCTTGCTCCTCCCCCCCTACTTCCACCCCCTCCTCGCCCTGCCACCTCCCCTCCTCGCCCTCCAGCCGCCTCTCACTCGCGGCCACCAGTGCAAACGCCCCACGCCCTTTCCTCCTCACAGCCTCCTCGCTACCCTCCAGTCCTGCTCCCGCCGCTCCCTCCGCCCCCTCCGCCCCCACTTCTCCCTCTGTCCGTCTCCGCGCCACCGCTCTCTCTCCCCCATCCGCCCTCCCCCCATCCGCCCCTCCCCCCGTCCACAGTCGCCCGCCTCCGCGCCCCCTCGCCCAGGCTGCTGCCAAACAGCCGCCTCATCCGCGCCCGCTCCTCCTCCCCATGCCTCTCAGCGCGCACCCTCTCCCGCCCCCCCCTCCCCCCCCCTGCTTCTCCCCCTCATGCCTCCCCCGCCACTCCTCACCGCCCCCTTCCCCTGACACCCGCCTCTTAACCGCCCTTCCCAGTTCTCCACCCCTTGCCTCCTCCCTATCCAATCCCCCACCCCTCATTTCCTCCATCCGCCTAGCGCCCTCCTCTCCCCTCTCCTCCCTCCGCTGCTCCCTCTCTTCCCGCTTTCCTGGGGGAGACCATGATCTAGACCCACCCCGACGCGCCCTCACGTCCCTCTCCGCCCCCCTCGCCGTTCTCCTCTCAACTCCCCCTTCCTCCTCGCCCTCCGCCCCTCGTACCTCGTCCATATAAAGCCGTCCTTTCTTCTCAATTCCCCTCCCCTTCTCCTCATACCCTCTACCTCTCTCCTCATACCCTCTCCCTCTTTCCTCATACCCTCTCCCTCTTTCGTCATACCCTCTCCCTCTCTCCTCATACCCCCTCCCCCTTTCTTCCTCACGCCCCGTAACAACCCCATCCCTTCCTCTCTTGCCCTTCCACGAGTCTGTCCTTCCATCCAGGCTCCTCCTGTCTCCGTCCCTTTCCTTCTCCCGCTCCTTGCTCCAGCCTCCCTCCCTCTCTCCACTCACTCCTCTCTCTCCCCCTCTCTCCCTGCCTCGCTCACCACTCCTCTCCCTGCTCCGCCCTCTCACTTCTCTCCCCCTCTCTTCCCTCCCTCTCTCCTCTCTCCCCCTCTCTTCTCTCGCCCTCCCATCTCGTCCCCTCTCCTCCCTCCCCTTCTCCTCCCACACCCTGCCGCCATCCTCCCTCACTTCAACAACCTCCCTCCTTCGTCCCTCGTCTCGCGTCCCCTCGGCCCGCTTCTCCTCCTCCTTTGCCAACGCTTCTCTCCCATCCTTCCCTGCACCTGCGGTATCTGGGGCAGCGGGCGCGTTGTATTTCCCAATGTTGGCAGACAGGTGAAGCCACAGCCTGTTAATGAGGGGAGGAGGGAGGAAGGGGGGGTTTGGCTGAGGGTGGGGGGCTTTCGAGGAGCGAGGTGAAGCAACAGGCTGCACCAAAACGAACACAGGGTTGTACACTCACAGAAAATGTGAGGAAAACGGAGAGGAATACGGTATAAAAACAATAGGTCAAAGAACAACAACGCTATAACAGGGATTTACTGTACCGCGCAGCGCAATGACATTATTTCTTCGAAGAATATCACCCACCAGTCGACAAAGGCGGCGGTTTGGTCGCCCAGAAACGCCTCGAGATCCTCGGCTGCGTGGCTCTTGGGCTTGCCGTGCGCCACCAGCACCACCACGTACTCCTGCGAGGGAAGTAGGAAACATGTCCAGATTCAGTGAACTTTAATTAATAAGAATTGAGATCCTCGGCGGCGTGGCTCTTGGGCTTGCCGTCCGCCACCAGCACCACCACGTACTCGTGCGAGGGAGGTGGGAAAAATGTCCAGATTCAGTGAATTGGACAACGGACTGGGACCTACCGTACTTCCGCGTGAATTGCACAAGGTGCAGGCGCCAGAGATGATGCCGGGGAAGGCTAGGGCAAAAAGGGCGGAGCTAAGTCAGAGTTCTGGCAGGGTTTAGTCAAGCGTAGGATTGAAAAACGAAGAAAATATTAACTATTCCTCAGTCTCCGGAATACAAACAAACATCCGGGGACGGCTCTTCTGAGGATGCAGACAAAAATGTTTGGTTTCCACTCGCTTCTGCTCAGAAATGCTAGGTTCAACAATGAGCAGCTAAGACGAGGCGACTGTGGACACGAGGCTGGGCGAGGCGAGGGAATACGTCTCAAAAGTCGTCTTTGTTCGGTATTGTGTGGTTCAATAAGGAGCAGCTAAGCCCAGCAGTTGTTCATAAAACCGTACGGGTCACTGAATACCAGAGGCGATTAACATTAAGGAACCACTCATGCCAATGTCCGTGAATATCCTGTCTAAACTCCCTTTGGCGAGTAAAGAAACGGAATTATAGGCGGATCCGATTTGCGGGGGATCATTCGGCGGCGTGGGGATCGCGAAAGGCGAACATTCGCGAACGACGACCGTAGATCGAGGGGCACGTGGATGCTTACGATTGCTCCGCGTCGGCAATACGGCGTCAATCTCACGAGAAAGTAAGTTCTCGTACGACGTATCGACGCATGGCTAAATTAGTGGACCAACTACTGCTATCCGATACCTACAGCTGCCATGAATTCGTATAAAGTGTTACGGAATCCGACGTTTCCCCACAAACCAACACGAAACCGCCTCTTAACGCCACGGAACCGTAATTAACGCCACATAACCGTAACGAACGCTCTCGGAAACGCGTACCGCGAGGACGTCGTCGGTGAAGCTCTCGGAGAAATCAGCGAGCTTGTCGCGCACGACGGCGCGCAGCGCGGACGCGCCCGGCCCGTGCAAGTCGAGCGAAAACGGCTCGCCTGGATCCCCCATGCCGCGCTACTACGCCTGGAATCTGGATCTCTCGCCTTCTGGCGTCAGCCAGGTTTCGCTCAGCAGTCCTTCCGCAGACCTAGCGGTTTGCGCGTAAATCTCAGCTATGAACTGTGATGCCGATTCTCCATGATCCTCCTCACTGGCTGGACAAGCCAGTGTTTCTAATCTGAGACGAGCAGATACAGTAGAGAACTGACTGCTGGCTGTTTCTAGTTAATTCCTCTGAACAAAGTCTGAACCAGGCTGTGTGTGACAGAATCGAGGGGGGGAAAGGCCGTTTCTGATGGCCTAGCAGCTTGTGCGGGGATATGGTTGTGTTTCGCGAAATATTGTAAACAAGTCAGAAGTGTAAGCAGATTATAATTGAGAAACTTACCATGAATGAAAATATCTAAACACGTTTTGCATATTCCTTAATCACATGAAAGTGTGCTTTTCAGGACTTTGAGAGATTTTTTAAGTCTATTTTTCTGAATAGATATTGGATAACTACAGGTCCAAATGGAATCATGCAAGCATGCAGAATTATCAACAATAAAAAAAAAAACAAAAAAAAAAACAAAAAATGTGTCACTCTGCTAATGAGATATTAGATAAATACAGGTCCAAATGGGATCATGTATGCGTGCACACTAACACAAATGCATGCGAACTGCAAACATGCACACATGCATGCTTGGTGTACTCATGCATGCATGCACACAGTTGCCATTATGAGAATCCAGTGTATTGCACACTGTTGCACCCCTTGCCACTCCCAGCACTCATTGACACTCACCACCCTCTCACCATCCACTCTCATTGCACACTCACCAGTCACTCCCCATCCAGTCTCAATCCTCAATCTTTATACTCACTTGCACCACTCTCTCTGACGATATATTATCAACACCACTAATTACCTCCAGCTCGCCACCTCTAGACTCCCACCCCTCCACCACTCACCATTCTCATGACCCACTTTAACGACTCAGCCTCACCACCTTCTCCGCTCTCACCGTCACCACGCACTAACACCTTGAAAAACTTACCATTCAGCTAATGCCACTCACCCTCACCTCCCACTCCCAGACCTCTCTCCCACCACTCACTCACTCCCACCACCCACCCTCACCAAAATCACCATGCACTCGCCATTCTCACAACTCAACCTCACTCTCACTTCTCACCGCTCAAACTCTCACCCTCACCACACCCTCTGACTTACCCAGCCTCACCACCACTCACTCGATTACCCTCAACAATCAGTTGCAGCACTCTCACCACTAAACTCCCTCTCTTTCACCTGTGGCCTTCACCCACTATCACCACTCACACTCACCTATGTCTATCACTCACTATCACCACTCACACTCACCTGTGTCTATCACCCACTATCACCACTCACACTCACCTGTATCTATCACCCACTATCACCACTCACACTCACCTGAGTCTATCACCCACTATCACTGCTACTCAGTCTCACCTACCCAACCATATTAACCGCTCACCCTCACCAGCCTACCTGCTCTCACTGCCACCACGCACTCAAATCTAAAACCTGAACATCCCAATGTTGCGGCTCACTCTCACCTCCCACTCTCACCTCCCACTCTCACCTCCCACTCTCACCTCCCACTCTCACCTCCCACTCTCACCTCCCACTCTCACCTCCCACTCTCACCACTCTTCCCCACCACTCATTCGCTCTCACCACACTCACCTCCCATTCTCACCACTGTCACCTCTCACCACTCAACTCTCTCACCCTCTCACCTGTGGTGACTCACTCACACTATTCACTCCATCTCACCACCTCGTGACTCCCACCCCTCCACCACTTAACATTTTCACCATTTATTCTCACCATTGTCGCCACTCGGACTAACCAACCTCACCACTCTTTGCTCTCACTGTCACCACGCACTGACATCATGAAGCTGAACATTTGAATCCCGTTGCTCACACTCTCTCACAACTCCCTACCACCACACACTTACACTCACCACTGCCACCTCTTACTCTCACCACTCTCGCAATTACACTCACCACTCACTCCCTCTCACCACTTTCGCAATTACTCTCACCACTCACCCTCTCAATACCCAGCCTCACCACCACCACTCACTCATTCACCCACACTCACCAACCACTTGCACACTCAGTTTCACCACTCACTCTCACAGCCATGACCTCTCATGCAACAAGTGGCATCAGTGCCATACGGCCCATCATGTGCCACCCAAGGGGACTCAGCCCCTTTCACTTGCTCTCACCCACCCAAGGGGACTCAGCCCCTTTCACTTGCTCTCACCCACCCAAGGGGACTCAGCCCCTTTCACCCACTCACGAGCATCACGCTTCCATGCACGCGTGGCATCAGTGCAACTCATCATGTGCCCCCAACCAGCCAAGCATGAGCATCATGCTTCCATGCTTAAGGGTGTCATCAGTGCCATACGGCTCATCATATGCCATCGCCAACCCCACTGCCTCTCACCACCATCACCCCATCACCACCATCACCCCATCACCACCATCACCCCATCACCACCATCACCACCCAACCCACCCAACCCCTCCCCTCCATACCTGCCAGCAGTAGGAGCAGCAGACAGCCCACTCCCCTTCGGAAACAGCACCCCCAGGAGCTGTGCCTTGAAGGGCGAGGTGTGGTAGTGGAAAATTGCTTCCAGCCCAAGACTCAAATCCTGCCCCTGACGTAGCTAGAGCTGACGCGAACCAGAGTCGCCGGCCGGTCGACTCTGACGGTGCCCATTAAGCCTTAACGTCAGGTTAGTTACTTGAGCACCGAGTGCCGTGCCGCGCAGATTCCACCCACCACACCCCGACCCGCAAGGCACATCCCTAGAGGATGCTGCCCCTGAGAGAGTGACCTGCCCACTTGCTCCCATGCTTCCCACCGCCTCCCCACTCTCCCCTTCACCCCATGCCTCTTTCCTCTTCCTACCACACCCATGCAGAGCGCCATGTTGCCTCAGGGTGTTGGGAAGTGGGGAGGGAGGAGGGGGGGGAGGGGGGGGGTTAGTGCGATGGCTCTGTCCCGCCCTTGATCCCTCTCTCCCTCAGGCTGCATCGACCGTGCTGAAATGTGGGGAGGGGGGCAGCGGGAGGGAGAAGGGGAAGGTGAGGATGAAAAGGAGATGCCTCTGTCCCGCCCTTGTTCCAGTGCTCCCTCCATACTCAGGCTGCAAAGAGGGGTGGGAAGGAAGAAAGAGAGGAGGGGATCAGATCTCCATACCAAACCTGTTACCATACCTTACCTGATACCATACCACACCTCGCTCACGACTAAACCTAACCTAGCCCGCCTCTAACCCCCCACCCCCCACTGCTGCTGCTGCTGCCGCCGCTTCTGCTACTACAACTGCTGCTGCCGGTCTGCTACTCAGCTTCTCTCGATGCACAGTGGCCTGCAGGTGTGGGGGCAGAAGAATAGGGGGAAAGTAAAAGAAAGTGAATAGGCTGGACTAGAGAAATCAATGACCTGAAGTTGACGAGAAAGAGAAGGCGCAACTACAGAGCAGAAAAAGAGAGGGTTGAGGGCAAAAGGGGAGGCGCCGTACCTTGAGAGGCCAAGCCCAACCCGATACTCTCCCTTATGGCAGCGACTGGCAGAGCTGGCCCCCTCCCATCCCCACAGACAGGCACATGCACGGCCACAGGCGAGGGGGGAGGAGGCAGACGAAAGGGGGGAAGTAAAAGCAAGTGAGTTGGTTGGACCAGAGAAGGAAAAACAAAACTGAAGTTGATGAAATTGACTAACAAAACTGAAGTTGATGAAATTGACAAGGCAAAACTGAAGAACAGAAAGAGAGAGAGACGAGGGCAAGAGGGCAGGTGACGTACCTTGAGAGGCCAAGCCCAACCCGATACTCTTCCTTGTGGCAGCGACTGGCAGTGCTGCCTCCCTCCCATCACCACGGGTACCTGCACGGCCACCCGGGAGGGGCGTGAGGGAGCGTCAGTGTTGACCCCCGCCCCTCCCCCCACCTGCAAGGCACACGCAGAGCTGGTCAGTGGGCAGCGAGGGGAGGAATGGTGAGAGTGCAAGAGCGAGAAGAGAGATTGCAAGGCGAGAGCAGGGAGGGGCCACTGGTGGAGGCCAAGCCACAAAGCACAGACCCCAAGGGGTGAACCTGAAAGGGTACCTGCACCTGAAGGGGTTACCTGCACCTGAAAGGGTTACCTGCACCTGAATGGGTTACCTGCACCTGAAAGGGTTACCTGCACCTGAATGAGTTACCTGCACCTGAAGGGGTTACCTGCACCTGAATGGGTTACCTGCACCTGAAGGGGTTACCTGCACCTGAAGGGGTTACCTACACCTGATCTACACCTGAGGGGTTACCTGGAGTTGGGGGGGTCTGTGGCATGTGAGGCGGACCTCACCAGTGGCACTGCTTCAAGAGGAAGGGTGCGAAAGCAGATGCGACAAACGAAATGGCAGCAGCAAGGGCGAGGGCATGGAGGAAGGGACACTTAGCTGATTGTTTGAGAGCGAGCAGAGGGTAGCTGAAGCACCACTGCAGTCTTCACTCGATGCCAAGTGACTTGGTAAGGGGGGAAGAAAGTGGGGAAGTAAGAGCGAGTGAGTTGGCATGATAGGCAAGATAACAAACTAAAGGTGAGGAAAACGAGAAGGCGGAATTGAAGAGCAGAAAGGTAGAGGGATGAGGGCAGGAGAGAGGCAGACGTACCTTGAGAGGCCAAGCCCACCCCGATACTCTCCCTTGTGGCAACGACTGGCAGTGCTGCCTCCCTCCCATCCCCACGGGTACCTGTACAGCCACAGGGGAGGGGCGTGAGGAAGCGTCGGTGTTGACCCCCGCCCCTCCCCTCCACCTGCAAGGGGCACACGCAGAGCTGGTCAGTGGGCAGTCAAGACATTCAGCAGAGTTGACAAGGGCGAGTCACACAGGCAGGGCGGAGAGGGGAAAGGGAGGGCCACTGAAGGGGGCAGGAACACAAGGCATAGACTCCAAGGGGACCTAAGGAGGTAACCTGAACCTGAACCTGAACCTGAACCTGAACCTGGGGGGCTGTAAGCAAACCTGAACCTGATCCGGAGAGCTTACCTGAAGTCAGGGGGAGAGTCTGTGGCTTGTGAGGCTGGCCCCAACCAGAGGCGAAAGTTTCAGCGGCAAAGAGAAAGCAAGGAGTATGAACAATGCGGAGCAAGCAAAGGTGAGGGACGAATATGAGGAGGAGTGACTTCACTGGCAGATGAAGAGCCGCTGACAGGGCTGTTGCCTCATCCCTCCCTCCCCTCCCCTTCTCCTGCAGTTATCGCTCTGCTGCCTTCCCCGCCCCTGCTGCCGCAACTCTAGCTAAGCAACCCTCCCACCAGCCACAGCCTGTGTGCACACGCATAGCCACTCTGCTCCCTCCTCTGTTGTGGGGAGGACAGGCGAGCAGAGGACTGGGGGGTGTGATTGGGGAGCAGAGGAGTGGGGGGGGGGGGGGGGGGACATGAGGAAAGAAGTGAATTCAAGTGGGTAAAGCAGAACGCAGAGTGGCGAAAGTGCATGAACAATGAGTGCATGAATGGACTGCTGCAGTGGCACACCCAGGAGACCTCATACCAGCTGAACCACACTAAACCTAATACCTGAGCACGTACCTGCTACCTTGCTACCTTGGGGGAGGGAGGTCTCTTGAGTGTGAAAAAGGGCAGTAAAGAAGGGAGTTTGATGCAAGTACAAGCGTTGGGAGAAGTGAGGCAGGGCGGGGTACTTAGCTTAGCTGTGGGTGGGTTGGGTGGAGAGCACCTGCTGCCTGTGCACTCCATATCCCCCCCCACTGCCACTCCCGTGAGAGCGACCTGCTGGGACGAGAGGGGGAAGATCAGGACAGAGAGAAGGGAGGAGAGGACGGGAACTGAGGAGTTGGGAGGGCAGTGAGGAAATAAGCAAGGACAAGTGAGTGAAGTGAGAGTATGAATTATGCGAGCATGAATGGACTGCTGCAGTGGCACACCCAAGAGACCTCATACCAGCTGAACCATACTAAACCTAATACCTGAGCACGTATCTGCTACCTTGCTACCTTGGGGGAGGGAGGTCTCTTGAGTGTGAAAAAGGGCAGTGAGGGAGGGAGTTTGATATATGATGCAAGCGAAACATGTAAAGCCAACACAAGTACGAGCGTTGGGAGAAGTGAGGCAGGGCGAGGTACTTAGCTTAGCTGTGGGTGAGTTGGGTGGAGAGCAGCTGCTGCCTGTGCAGGGTGGGAGCCGCCTAGGGCGCCGCATGTGGGCCCGAAATCGCAGGTCGCGAGAGTGGTTCAGCGTGGCATGAGGTCGCACGCACCAGCGTGGCACCCGTCTGGGAGGGTGGGAATGGCGTTGTGCACGGCGGCCTGCAGTGGCGGGTGGAAAGACACAGGGCGAAACGGATCGCGGAAAATTCGGAATTGAAATGGGATTCTAAAACGCGACCATGAGCAAAATCGATCTGTGAAATCGTTTCCCGGAAAAGCGACATTGAGGCGCTGTTCTGTAGGCGTTAAATTTTCAAAAACTGGGTCCGCAGAATCTTCGTTGATAAGCGGTCTTCTGCCTATCAAGGTTTGGTGATAAGGTAGGTCCTGCCGAACCTGTTTGCGCCAAATTTAAACGCTTCAACCTGCAGAAAGCCACTTTTGGGGCGCACGAATGTAACCGTCTGCAGGTTCGAAGGTGTTGCTTCGCCGGGCAAATGGTCGCACAATTAGTGCGGTGCTAATTCTACCTCGGGAGCTAGCATCAGCCTCGGCACATGTTATGCGAGGCAGCAACATCCGCGCAACGCAACCAGCATGAATGCGCATAGAAAATGCACGGAAGGCTACGGCGGTCAAATTGGTGCGGAACCCTAAACGCCTGCAGAACAACGCCTGAGTTGTGCGTCAGCGAAATAGCTCGCGAAATTGATCCCGGAATCTGGAGGGGAAACTGGAACGCGACAATTACGAATCGATCGGTGATTGACACATGAAACGGAAAAGCGAAAGTGAGACATCTGCGAAATCGATTTGCGAAATTGAATGCTAATACCTGAGCTGCCAGACGAATGACGCGAGCCACCTGAGCCCGTCAATATTCACGAAAACGCACGTGTTCGCCGGAATCGCACGTACAACCAGATGGCATTGGTGGTTTGAGTGACATGTCGCCTCCCCAAACCTGCAATATACAAACAGGATACACGTCAGACGCGCCACTGAGCAATCTTGCGTGTGCTAAAACGAAAGCATAGCACACCACGAAATAAGACTCGGATACGAGGGGGAAAAGCACATGCATTAAAATTTACCTGATATTCACAAATCGCCATCGCGCACTCGGTCATCACAGAAATCGCCGAAGGCCTCAGCACCAGTAATGGTAGGTACATCATTTTCGCTTCCAGGCTTCCACACCCGATTTTCTCCTCCCGTAAACGATGCTCCCGTAAAAGCCATATATGAATGGCAGAATGCCTACGCCCTCGCAGCAGCTCTACGAAAACGAGCTGAATGTGTTGAGAACGAGCATCGTTAGCGGCTGTCCTTTCTCCAGATCTAAATGGCAGAATGCCTAAGCTTGTGTTGAGAACGAACATCGCTAGCAGCTCTCCTTTCCGCAGTCGCAGCAGCTCTAAGACAGCGAGGAGAAGAAGCCTGAGCGTGAGAAAATGAGAAAACGAGAGCAAGAGGCGAAAGCGGTGTGAAATCCGAGGCTCAGGCGAGAATGAGGCGAGAGACGACGGTGACGCTGGAATGAGGCGGAGGGGTCACCAACTGCCTCTCCTCTCCTTTCCTCACAGCAACCCTCTTCAGATCTACCGTCCAGAATCACTGGATTGTCTGAAACTCTCTTGATAACTCAGATCTCAGCCGTAGGTTCGTACCATTTGCGTGTTTCATCAAGGCAAACCTAGCAAGCTCTGCATTGGTCCACAGGCTAACCGGCTGTGTTGGGTCGCGAGGAAAAGTGACGGTGGGCGAATGGTTGGTCCGGTCAGGCTTATTTTATGTCCATGACAGAGAGATTCGAGGGTGCACGGCGGTGGCTGGCTGAGAATCGTCCGCGTGTCACATGAATCCCTTGCCGGTCAGGGAAGGAAAAGAAAATTTGCCAAGTTTACGCTGTTCGCTTGTCCCCTCTTTCACCATAGCGACTACGCAAGACAAACGAACCCGACTTTTTCCAGCGAGATTCCGTTGACAAAGGCGGGAGTAGCGGGATTTCGCTGGTGAACGTTGGACCCCGCGACCTAGGAACCGTCGATTGTCGCCCGATCTGGAGTCGCAGAATCGTCGTATCAGTTTGGAACGCAGCAAACCCAATGGTTTAAATTCGAAGCTCTCGTTCCTACCACAAGGAACGAAGTGATTCCCAGCCGTGGATAAAGAATCTAGGCAAGCAGCTGCGGTTGAGATCTGGAGGTTGAACTGATCCACTCTCTGACGCTGGCCTGCGGATGGGGAAGGTTTGGGCAAAATGGGTGAGTATGGCGAAAGGTCTCCGCTTCGCATATTTGTTGTTACTCGTCGTTGATTTGGCCTAGGAACTGATTTTCTGACACCTGCTGGCTCCACATTCGTATTTGAAATAACCGGAAGCGGTGCAGAGCAAATACACTACGCCATTGTATAATCATAACTAACAAAATTGGAAAGAGCATTTCTACCAACTAATGAATACACGTCTGCTTATCATGCTGATTATCATAGCCTCTTGACACTGGCAAATATTCATATTGAATTCAGTATTATAACATGCCTCAGTTTTCTTTTCTTGATGGATGAGTGCAACATCATGTTGGATTGTGTGTTATGAGAAACAGCCTTGACTGCGTTACAGGCCCAGCAGTTTTACCAGCTATCGCTCACATCGCGACCATCACTAAAGAATCGCGGCCGTCAGATCTGTGTCTAGTGACGGTGCGAGCCTATTTCGCGGTTCACCGGACCCTCACGAAACTCGTCTGGGAAAAAGTGGAACCCGATTGGTCTATTTGGTTAGAGTAACCGTTGGCGGGATGGAAACCCAGGGAGCAGATTCGCTGGGCAGGGAGGAGGTGAAAGTAGGAAGCGGCAAGCTCTAGGTCTTGGCATCAGGTGACAGACACACGCAGTCATAGGCAGGCAAATGGATACAGACACTGAGGTTGAAGAGAACGAGGATTTGAGATTTGTCGTGTGCTTGAGTGTGTGAGCGGGGATTCAGAGCTTGCCTTTCAGAACTAAGCTGGCCTGATCAGTTCTCCCTATCGAATCAGGGTGCAGACTCATATTTAAGAGGCAATAGGTCGGAATGGAAGAAGTAGCGGTTATTGCTGACGCGGCAGGACCTTCCAAATTCTCCCTCCTACTCCCCTCTCACCAAGGATTTATGATGATCTTCCAAAACCGGCCATTGATCGTCGCGTTTATCTCGCTCTGGGTCGCCCAATTCCTCAAGCCTTTTACATTATGGTAGGGGTACCATATGAACATCTCTCGTCGCAATCGCGTCGACGATCGTTTAAAACTGAAGTTTTTTTCGTTTCCTCGTTACTGCTAATAAAGTGGTTAACGTCGCCGTCCAACGGCGTCGCGTTCTATATATCTCGTTACACTGGCTCACTTATGATTAGAGCGCGAATGCGTCAACCCGCGTTCGTTGCTGACATTCCTAAGCCAAGTGTGGATCAGCTCGTTTTCGTTCGTGGCTTTTGAGAAATCTGCTTATGACGTACACCCATTAGGTACACCCATTAGGATTGAGGCACAGTTTTTCGCAAACTCGGCTACGCTCCTTGCTCCATTTCAACCGTGAGCAGGCACTGGGAGAAGCGATGGGATTTTAAGCGAATCTTAGGATCCGGCGGCATGCCCTCATCGCATTCGTCGTCCGTCATGGGTCTGGCGTGCGCTGTCGCCTTCCAAGAAGGCACGGCCAGCCCGTTGTTCGCCGCGTGCCTCGTTTTCGCCGTCGTGGTATGTTTCCTGAAAACTTCCTTATCTCCTGTTACTTTCACGTGCCGAGCGTCTCCATGACTGGTCATTCAAGCCTTTTGTTACCCCTTTGTTGGTACGGGAGCTTAGTGCGAAACGCTAGATCGTTTCAGGTCGAAATTGCTCGCTGACTGCCATTCTCGGATGTTCTTCGCGCATTGCACAGGTCATGTATGACGCCTCAGGGGTTCGGCTTCAGGCAGGCCGGCAAGCAGAGGTACGTGAAATTCCCACGTGAATCTAAACAGCTCGAGACAAGCAACAGTTTTTATGCGAAGCACATACAGTGGGAATTGTGAAGTATGGAAATGCCGTGGCTTTGACTGGGGTCTTGTAAGGTCATGCCGCTGCTCATTTGATCCAGCAAGATCATTGCTTCCGTACGCACTTCAGTAGTCTGGGATGATATGATCGTCATCCTGCATCACGGTGGTCCCTTCACTTACTGGTACCCAATCCACATCGTCTCACACTCTCCTCGTCTTACCCACGCAATTGCTCATCCATAATCAAGCCATTTCTGTATCAAACATCATCGCTGATGAAACCATAAAACTCTCGCCTTTTCATTCTGCTACTATTTGCCCGCCTCACAGGTCCTAAACCAGATCGTGTATGAGCTGCCACCAGACCATCCCTTGGCTGAGTCTCGGCCTCTCAAGGAACCCATTGGACACACACAACCTCAGGTAGGCACTCGGTTATCACTCTCTACCACAGCCATAAGTGCTGTTACCACACTCCGCCGCAGGGTTATGCACAGTTTACGAACTTCATCACATGTATGACTGCAAAATGGTAGAGACACAAATCATTAAGGCTACAGCATTGCAAATCATTGGGTAATCATCAACGGTCGCCAGGTAGGTATGAATTGCATAGCGACGCAGCAAGTCATCAATACATTGCATGGCAGCACCAGGCATGTACACACTACAAGCCTTCAGGTACCACGTGCTCATACTGTATGACCGTTAGGTTGTTACATTGTAGCCATAGCGTTTTTATATCCTCTGTCATCCCTTGCACAATGCTGTGGCAGGTGGTGGCAGGAGCACTTGTGGGGGTTTTCGTGGCATACTTTATGCACCATTTCTATCCAACAGCCACTGCAGTAATGCATCCTTAAATTAGGAGTAGATTGTACTGGAGATACTTGAAGTGATTATAGTTATAGTTGGACACATTGGGCCAAACGGTAGAGCTCTTCGCAAATCCATGATCCTGCAATGGCCACCATGAAACGTTCTGAAGGTCACTGGATCGAGGAAACACTCATGTATGGACAAGTGTCTCAATTCCTTCGTTCCCTGAGACTTGGGTGCATCTCTTTGTTGAAGAGAGGGGATGTAGCACAGAGGGACAGAAGGGGATGCGAACTCCAGAACTGTCTAGGTCAAGGAATGGCAAAAAGGCCTAAGAGTGGGATTTGAACCCAGCGCCTTAGACCATCTCGGCCATCTCGACGTCCAGCTTTCAAATTAGACTTTTAAGTACCAAGAACAGAAATTCCCTGGCGAATAATCGCTAGGTCCATTCCGATTCGCTGTAGTCATCTCCGATGTGGAAGCGCCTGGCAGAAGCCGCATCTGCGGCATCGCGACGAGGTACGCTGCCATCCGCGCCTAACGACTCCCCGTTTTCCGCGCTTGACCTTCACGCCCCGCAGAAAGCCCAATCCCCCAAATAACCCCCTTCGTGAGTCCCTGTTCATCGCTCTCCACCCCTCTCCACCCTGCCGTCCCTGCCGGCGCCCAGCGGTGGCATGGCGGGTGGAGGAGCTGCAGCCGCCCAGCGAGCGCGTGCTGTTCCACTTCGCGAGGGCGGGCGCGCGGGGCGAGCAGGGCGCGCGGGGAGAAGAGGGCGCTCAGGGCGGCGCGCAGGGCGCGATGGACGCGTGGCGCGTGTATTCCGACGCCATATATGGCGGTGAGACGGTGTGCGCCTGGGTGCTGCGAGGTTCTGTGAGGTGCTGTGAGGTTCTGGGTGTGTTGCTATGTGTATACCTTTCCTCCCCACCCTCACCTTCTTACCAGCCCCAGACCCCCCAAGTCCCCTCTGTCCTTCTCTCCCCCACCCCTCAACTTCCCAACCTGCCGCCCCTCAGGTTCGTCAACCGCCACCCTCGCCCATGCCACGTCCCGGCAGCGCCGAGCCTGCAGGGTCGGGCACGGAGCTTTTCGGGGCATGGGCGGGAATCAGAGGCGTGGAGACATGTTGGGCCAGAGATGGAATGGATGGCAGCGCAGGGATGGTGCACTCCACCCCACCCACCCACCCAGCATGGCTGGGAAGCACGAGCTATGCGCCGGCAGCAGCACCATCACTTTGAAACTCCCTTCTCCTTTGGTGAGTTCCTTTCCCCGTCTCCCGCCTTCTTCCCTCTCTCCTCTCCCTCTCTTCTCCCTCTCACTCTCCCTCTCTTCTCCCTCTCTTCTCCCTCTCCTCTCCCTCTCTTCTCCCTCTCTTCTCCCTCACTCCCTTCTCACCTCGCTGCCTTGCCCCAACTTTCTCCTTCCGCACGCGCCTTTTCCTCCCTCCCTCTGGCAGCAGCAATATCGGCATGCTTACACAAAACCCTCTTTTCTCGGGATTTCAAGGCTGTCAGGGTTCCAATGTGCTCATCTGCCCCGTGTGCCCCGTGTGCCCCATGTGCCCCATGTGCCCCATGTGCCCCATGTGCCCCATGTGCCGCTCCCCTGCCTCCACAGCCGTGTTCGCAGGCAGCTTGTCCCGACGCGTGCAGGGGGAGGAGCAGGGCGAGGGTGTGGAAGGGCGGGGAGGGCGGCTGCTCAAGGGTGGCTTCGCTGGCATTCGAACGATCGAGGTGAGTGTCACATGTGGATGGTACGTAAAGGGGACAGAGGGTGTGGGCCTGTGGGGAGGGCAGGGAGGGCGGCTGTGGTGGGCCATTCGGTTCAGACGAACCATTGAGCCGCGTTTTGAAGGGGAATCCGAATTAAGGTAGAAGAAAAAGGCTCACCTGCAACCCACCCACCCACCCACTCGCTTGCGTTGCCCACCACTGCCTCCGCCCACCACTGCCTCCGCCCACCACTGCCTCCGCCCACCACTGCCTCCGCCCACCACTGCCTCCGCCCACCACTGCCTCCGCCCACCACTGCCTCCGCCCACCACTGCCTCCGCCCACCACTGCCTCCGCCCACCACTGCCTCCGCCCACCACTGCCTCCGCCCACCACTGCCTCCGCCCACCACTGCCTCCGCCCACCACTGCCTCCGCCCACCACTGCCTCCGCCCACCACTGCCTCCGCCCACCACTGCCTCCGCCCACCACTGCCTCCGCCCACCACCTGCCTCCGCCCACCACTGCCTCCGCCCACCACTGCCTCCGCCCACCACTGCCTCCGCCCACCACTGCCTCCGCCCGCCCACCACTGCCTCCGCCCACCACTGCCTCCGCCCACCACTGCCTCCGCCCACACTGCCTCCGCCCACCACTGCCTCCGCCCACCACTGCCTCCGCCCACCACTGCCTCCGCCCACCACTGCCTCCGCCCACCACTGCCTCCGCCCCACCACTGCCTCCGCCCACCACTGCCTCCGCCCACCACTGCCTCCGCCCACCACTGCCTCCGCCCACCACTGCCTCCGCCCACCACTGCCTCCGCCCACCACTGCCTCCGCCCACCACTGCCTCCGCCCACCACTGCCTCCGCCCACCATCTCACTCTCTTGCTTCTCTCCTCCACCTAACCCCCCCTCTCCCACTTCCTTCCACCTCCTCACCCTCTCTCCCAGGCGCATGCAGCGTGCCGCCCGCCACGACCTGGAGCCATTCGCCTCACTACTGCTGCACCGTCTCAACCCCGTTCCTCTCTCCACCGCCTATCCGACTTTGGGTGTGCCCACTTCCACCCACCCCACTCCGTCCCTCCCAGGCGCATGCAGCGTGCCGCCACGACCTGGAGCCATTCGCCTCACTACATCTGCTCGTGCGTGGTTGATGGCCGCACCTACCTCTCCACTGTACGCCCTCCCTTTCCCACCTTCCCCCTCCCCCTCCCCCTCCCCCTCCCATTTCCACTCCCCGTTGGCCCCTCCCCTTTCCCATCCCCTCCCCATCCCCCCTCCTTCTCCCTCTCCCCCTCCTCGTCCCCCTTCTAGCCCAGTCGCACCTACCTATCCCCAGTAATCCCCTCCCGCTCTCCGCATTCTCATGCTGCACTGCACCACTCTGCATCTCTCTGCCCTGCTCTCATCTTGCTTTTGAGACCTATTACTCATTCCTTTGCACTTTCCGGGTTGCTCGCACATCCTTGTCTCGTCTCGCCGGCCCTTTCCTTTTCTGTTTGTTTGAAGAGAACGTTCACACATACCTTTTGAGGTCAAACGCCTCAAAACACCTCAAGAGTCCTTCCATGAGTGTGATGAGAACGTTCCATGAGTGTGATGAGAACGTTCACAAATACCTTCCCCTCAAAAGTCCTTCCATGTTCGCAGACGTCACCTTCTCTTTCTCGTCCTCTCTTGCTTTCTGTCCCCCTCCCCTTTCATCTACCCTCCTCCCCCTTCTCCCCACTCTGTCAGGCTTACACGTCCTTACCTCTTTCCCTTCTCTCCCTCTTTTTTCTCCTCTCCCTCCCTCTCAGCTGCGCACTGAGAGGTGAGTGGGGGGGCCAGCAGCAGCGAGGAGAACACATGGCAGGGTGGGGATGTGCAACCTTATAGCTCTCTCTCCCCGCCCCTCTCCCCCTCTCTGCCCCTGTCCTCCCTGCTCCTCACGTCTCCTCCCTTCTCCTGCCCTACTTCTCCCCTCCTCCCTATCCCTATCAGTCTGCGCACCGAAGGGTGGGTGTGGGCGGGCCAGCGGGCAGTGAGGAGAACACATGGCAGGCGTTCCTGCCCTCGCCACGAGGGCGGTGGGGAGTGGTGCTAGGTGAGAGGAGAAGGGGTGAAGAGTGAGTGCAAATGAGAAGCTGTAGTCTCGTCTCCCCACTCCCACTCCACACATCTCAGCAGCGGGCAGTGAGGAGAACACATGGCAGGCGTTCCTGCCCTCGCCTCGAGGGCGGTGGGGAGGTGGTGCAGGTGAGAGGAGAAGGGGTGAAGATTGGTGTAGGTGATAGTCAGGATCCCATCGCTCCCCCCGCAGAGGGCTGTACTTTCTTACACGCATCTCAGAGGGCAGGCAGTGAGGAGAACACCTGACGTGGAAGGTCAGGGTGGCGAGGAGAAGCGTCAAGGGGGCTGCCTCAATCAACCTCTTCTCTCTCTCCCGCTTTCCTCCCCTGATTCAAAGATGTTTCGTTTCCCCCTCCCCCCTACTCCCTTCCCCTCCCCTCCTCCCCTCTCTTCCAGACCTGGAAAGGCGGGGTGATGGAGTAGGGCGTCAGGTATTTCTATCCATCCCCCTCTTCCCTTCTCCTCCCACTCACAGATTTCCCTTGCCAGTTACCACCTTACATGGAAGGGCAGGGTGGTAGGGTAATGCATAAAATATTTCTCTTCTTCCCCCTCTTTCCATCCTTCCCTCTCCCTCTCCCTCCCTTCCCACAGATTCCCCTGGCCAGCTACCGCCTTACATGGAAAGGCAGGGTGGTGGGCGGCGGTGGGGGAGGAAGAGAGGGAGGAGGGGGCAGTGGTGATGGAGGGATGGAGATGAATGCGCGGAGAGTGGTGGGCATGGGGATATCAGTCAACATCAGCACCCCTCCCATGCACTCTCCGCATCTCAGTGCCACTGCCCCGCTCACACATCCTCCTCACATTGCTCCAGCCACTCCTGGTGGTGATACTGCTGCGGCGGGCGGTGATTTTTGTCCTGATGGTGCTGACGTGGAGTCTGATGCGTTTCCAGTGCATGGCGAGGGCCCGTTTAGACTGGAGGTTGCGTGGGTCAAGGCTGTCAGGGATGGTGCTTGATGCGATAGGGATGGTGCTTGATGCGATAAATACAGAGGAAATTCCAAGCGCGTACCTAGTACCTACCGTACAAACGTTTTCTAGCACTGTGGATGGAACACTGCAAGATGGCAAAAGACAGCTAGGCAAGGCAATCCTTGGAATGATAATAGCAGAGTTGGCACTGATGTACTACGGTATTGTAACTTCCGGAAACATGCTACGGTACCGTGCAGCTTATAGTTGAAGTGCATCACAATCGTTGGGAAACTGGACCTCCACCTCAACAACTGCGGGGATTATGCCTGTGTGATTGCTTTGCTTATTGGCAAGTAGGTCTATTGGCAAAGTAGGTCTACTGTATTGGATGGCAAGTCTATTAGCAGGTAGGTCTATTGGCAGGTAAGTATATTCACTGGTACCGTAACTCTATTGGCTGGTAGGTCTATTGGCTAGTAGGTCTATTGGCTGGCAGGTCTAGTGGCGGCACGTCTATTTTGTTAAAATAGCTTCATAACTTTGAAAAAGGAGCCTAGGGTTTGGGCTAGGCAAGAGAGTGTCGAGAGAATTGACCAAGCAAAAGATGGATTCACTAAAGGGCCAAAGGCCCAAGTTAACAAGAAACAAGCAGGAAAGGTGCAACGCAAGCAAGAAACCATATAACTACACTACAACTAGAACTACATGCAGTTATACAGAAATAAATATAAAATATATTCTGACAAACCCCCTAACTGCATGCAGGGATAGCCATGTGCAGAACACCACCTGCAGGGGTACACCAAGCAAAATAAAGCAGCAGAAGAAGCAGCAGCAACAGGCAAGAGCAGTGGACCAGTGCACCGGTGGCAGATACAGCTGTAGCAAACCCTCAGCAAAGTCAAAAACAACAGTAGTGGGTGCATGTGGCGGCAGGTCGCCTGGAGAGCAGGTGCGTGCGGCGGCAAACGTGCGGCGGCACAGCAGGGCTCAACGGCAGCACCTGCCACTCAACAGCAGCACGCAGCAGCAGCAAGAGGAGGTGGCGGCAGGGGCGATAGCAGGAGGTGCCGCGGTAGCAGCGGGCGGCAGCTGCAGATGCCTGTGACTTCCGCCGCCCTCTCTTACCTTCCCCCCCACAGCGGCACGCGCCGTCAGTGAGAGAGAGAGGAGGGGCGGTGCTGGCTTGGCCAGAATCTCTCTTGCCACCCCCTCAACCTTCCCCTCCCCCCCACTGCACACGAGCAGCAGTGAGAGAGAGGGGAGGGACGGCTCTGGCTGGTTCACACTCGCCGACGGCGGCAGCAAGAGCTGCGTCATCCACACACCCTTACCCCCCCCCCCCCCCCCCCCCCCCCCCCTTTATCACTGCCGTACGAGGAGGTGCAGGGCAGAGGAGCAGCGCTGCTGCGCGCGGCCGTACACGGCTGCGCACGGCTATGCACAGCTGGACGCGGCCGTACGTAGCTGCAGCTGCGCGCGGAGCGCGTGCTCGACTGCTCGTAACGGGAGGGGAGCGGGGCGTGCGGAAATGGGGCGGGTAGAGGGGGGGGGGTGACGGGGCGGGAGCAACGAGCGCGCAGCGCGAGCCCCAGCTCGTCGCCATGAGAGCAGGGTCGATGCAGTACGACGGGCAGGAGACAGGCATGTTACAGGAATCAGCAGACAGCTCGCCGTCGCGACCGTCACATCAGTCGCAACTGAGGGCGCCACGACGGGCACCACGAACGAGGAATATGCGGTGGGCCCGGGGGATTAAAAGTAACAGGCCATGATCTTACGTGCTCTGATAGCATGTTAACTAGCAAGGGGTTGGGCTAGGCAAGAGAGTGTCGAGAGAATTACAAGCAAAGAGGGCTTCATAAAAGGGCCAAAGGCCCAAGTTATACAAGAAACAAGCAGGAAAAGTGCCACACAAGCAGGAACCATATAACTACACTACAGCTAGAACTATATACAGTTATACAGAAATATATGTAAAATATATTCTGACATATTGGCAGGTAGGTTTATTGGCAAAACCATTCAGATTGTGACACGACTTTACGAGAAGTGTGCAGTGCAGTCGTCATAGCATTACAAATTGCAAGAATAATATATATTTCTATATATTGTTTTGTAACTGCCTGTAGTGTAGACTACTGTAGTTATATGATGTTCTGTTTGGTGGTGCACCTTTCCTTCTTGCCTATTTGTACTCCTCGCTCTATAGTGAAACCCCCTCACTTCTCTTTTCAACTTTCTCGACTTACCTAAACTTACTCGAACTCAATCACCAAGGCTC